TAGTATAGTATTACGATTTATTTTTTCTGTGCACAATTTTTGTACCAGCGATTTTGCTCAAACTTATAACGACAGCAATTTTTCTAAAAAGAATTTTCACAGCGTTGGAAGTACACTAATAAAAATGCAAAAGATTTTTAAAGCTCAATGATTTAAAAAATATAATTTCGGCCGCAATTCAAATGACGACCTGCACATTGTATACGAAAAAAATGAAGTAATGGAATAAAAAAAAAAAAGTTGTTTCAAACATATCGATATGGCTATCATCAAAACATTATTAGTACTAAATATTTTAGAGGCAGATGAATGCATTACTTTTACGGCCTCAGACATTAATCTAGTGATTGCCACTAACTGCTACGATAATAATCTTGGAAGCAAGTAGTGTGCACCGTTTTAATTTAATCACCTACTTAATAAACACATTATAATACATTTAACCTTATTTTATTATTTGCTGTCGTATACACCGTACTTGGGTGAAATACACATTACGATATAAATGAAAAATAAATATAAACACCAATAACGACATTAAATCAACTTTATTAAAGAACTTGACGAACGTCTAACACGACGTCGTCACCAGGACTCCTCTTTTCCTCCTCTTTTTCTCTTTACCATTTTATGATCGTGTTTGAATAATTTAACCTACTTCTTAAATGCTACCTAAATACTATTTCTTGATTTTTACTTAATACTATTATTGTTGTACAATATTTTTATAATACTACATACAGCATAGGCGTATTTCTGATCCGGACAACTAGCAGTTTGAACCTAAAGGTCGGTTATCTTTATTAGATATTGTATATATTATTATCTATGGGAGTAATTCAGTTTAAATCATGAATGCGATGCGATTAATCGTTTACAAACGAAAAACGATTCTGAACGAGGTTCAGTTAAACGTATTTTGTATGGCTGTAAATATTCATGATTTTCGTTAACATTTTATATTGAAACTCTTATGAAAAAAAAAAATAATAATAATACATAACACTTAACTTTTGTTTTGATAGCTAAGTATAATTTACAATGAATGCATTATTAAATGATCAAGCATTTCTGTTTGCTCAAACGATTTTATCCACAGAGCATTTACCAAATAAAAACTACGTAAAATCCTCACAATTATAAATTGCCTGTAACTCAAAAACGGATTAATTGTTTTTAAAATTTGACCACGTTTAGAAAAAGCGAACATAAAATTTCCGTTAAAATGTCAAGTTTTTACGAATATTTTTTATTGAATTAAAATAAAATACGAAAACAGAAAAAAATAAAACCATTATTATTTCCGTACATTTTCCCGTTCTTTCTATGTTTTTTTTTTCGATCTTGCTCAATTATCAAAAAGAATACAGAGAAAATCAAAAAATGAAACAAAAAGATGTCTTGCCGATTTTTTATTGGAGCAATATTTTTGGTAGAAAACATAAATCGTACAAATTTAAAGTAGGTAATGAAATTTTACGCCGTAAATTTATCAGTTTTCATTTATCGTCTTTTTCCGGTTCTTCCATATTATTATGAAGACTATTTGGAAATTCAAAAAAACGACTTACTTCGTGAGCACCAAGATCTAAAATTTAACAAAAAAAGTCTCTAGGCATTTTTTGATTAAAGCAACATTTCTAGTAGAAAATATAGTTCACGGAAATGATGAAATCGGTAACGGCGTGGCCCACATTAGATATTTACTGTTTTACCCATAATTTCGTTTCTAATTTTTCCCAATTATTTTGAAAACCCCTTGGAAATTAAAAAAGGTACTACGCTTGTTACATTGGAGTTAGTTTTCTGTTTGAAAAGTCGCACACACACACACAAAAAAAAACCCATATTAAAACCAATAGATTCTTCGGTCCGCTACATATCTAAAACGCCAAAAGTCGATTGAAGCCCTTCTTCCCTGTGACCAATGAATTATCTATATGAAATTAAATCAAACGATGCGCAACACATTAATCGTAAAATGTGAAAACACAAAATCCCTGAAAACGTTCACTGCAAAGTTCTCAAGAAAATCGTTCGTATTGTATTCGAGTGTTCTACATATCGTGTAATACAATATTAATATTAATAGTCATGGAACTGTATCGGTGAACTATAATATATTACGTCCTCCTAATCCACTTTTACAGCCAAAACTCGATTTGTTATCAGAGGTAGGTACGTCTCCGATGCACAGAAAAAAAAATTAGGTATTTGCATTACAATTTGTACAATACATACAGGCGTTTAGAGTGTGCATGTGTGTGATAATATTCTAACGATGACTGGAGTACGGGCACTGTAATAAAATGTCTAAAAAAATAAACCGTTTACAAAATAATTTTGGCATTTCTTGTATTATACGGATTTTATGGGTTGATAAGAAACTGATAAGAAATATTATGTATATAGTAATACATTTACCTTGAACGTTGTAAAAAAAAAAAAAAATGCACACTTCTGGTACCCATTTATAATATTTGTTATTATATAGGAATCCATCGACGCCCACAAACAACCGCGGCGATGATAAAAATATATCGACACGCGGAATAAAATATTCGAATGTCGTTGAACAAATAATATAGGTAGGTAATAATCGGCAAAAAAAACAACTTCACGTGTAAAATATGTCAAACAAACCGAACGTGAGATATCCGAGATAGACATACATGCGTAATAGCGGAAAATAAATAAATGTACACTTTAAAAGTTATCAAGAGGACGTTTCTGTCATTACAAACGTGCTGACACAGCGATTTTGCGTTCAGTAGGATAAACGCTATGCCGTTAGTTTGAATAGCAAAGTGAATCGACTTACGATACCAACCTAAAGGTATAAGATTACTTGTGCCCTGGCAGTGATTTTTTTTTTTTTTTTCGATATTTAAAGTACGGGAAAAACGTCAACGCTAGAGCACTAATAATAATAATAATTATATATATATAATAATAATAATAACCTTTGGGTTTGGTCGTAAGCCGATTCGCTTTAAAACTAAAGGCTTAAAGATTGTCCCGAGCGCAAATTCGCTACGTCGTGCGTTTGTAAAACAGAGACAGTAGATAGCCGGTATGCTCTCAACTCATAAAATAGTATTTAAATAATAATGTTTCTGATAATACAAAAAAACATTATCCAGGCTAAGCATTATTGGCGAATTCATAATATTATAATATTATATTGTCTCCGCGTTTTACAGCGTGTTGTAGACTCGTATAGATTAAGCAAACGAACGATTTAATATATTCCGTATTGTAATATACTAGATATCCTACTATCCTATATGAACTGTGCCTATAGAACGTTTGTTATTATTATTTTTGTGAGTAAATGAACGAGTGAAAATCACTTAATAAACTAAACGGCAATTTCGTATTTACGGAAGGGTTCAAGGTAAATGGGACTCTCGCCCTCAGAGCCGAAAAAAAAGAAAACAAAACAAATCAGATAAATGTTTACCCTCCCACCTTATTTCGAAATCGCTACAGGAATTCGATTATTTTTCAACCTCTAATTCGTTCCTAACACAAACAATTCAGTCAAACAACCCCCCTCAAAAAAAAAATTATATCTACTTCGCAATCTGCAGTATAGTTAAGTAATAAGTATAGAAATGAAACATATTTTAGTCGTATCGTTGTGACAACGGTTTTCGAACTGCTGCTAAATATAAAGTCAAGGTTTTATGTTTTTGACCGGGTAACGACAATTGGAATCGTTAAGATGTATCTGAACTGCATGATTTCTCGACAAAAGTAGACTGCACCACTGCACCCAAGTAACACGTAGACGTTCACAGAATATTCACAAAGACTGCACGCGTTTCCGTAGATTATTCATTATTATTGTTCCATTTAATATGCTCTATAAATCTGCTTACAGTAACCAAAACTTTCAAAATGAGTAGACTATAGAATAATATGTACTATGCGAACAGAGCAGCGAACACCGTGATATTTTCGGTTTCTCGTCGTTTTATTTGTTGGAAGGTAGGTATATTACAATATTATAAATAGTGAAATGATTAATAATAACCGTGCCTTTTATGTTGAATTAGTAATAAAAATAATAAATATAACAAGACCCTGCAATATAATACTGCAACGCGCATTGTATTGTACTTTAGATATTTTAAATATAATTATCGTATCTAAAAAGTTTATTTGTATTTTTATATGGTCGTGCTCGAGATAATAATATTATAAATAAACACTGTTTTAAATAGATAATAACATTTAATAATCCGAAACTTTATTATTAAACGGAGATCGACGACACCTGCCTATTTAGGCGTGGATACCCCTACCCTTGGTAAAAAAATACGAATGTCAACACCAAATGTTTGAAAAACCAAAGTTGGTATCGCCACAGGATCCTCCTTAAATGTTAAATATTTGAAAATATTGGCTTAACTACAGTCAAAATTTCCAATATTAGAATTTGACTGCATACAAAATTTAACCATAAAAGTGAGGGTGAGCATGCTTATATATATATATATCCAATATAGTTTACAATAAAATATTTTGATGTTACTAATGATTCATCATTCATTTTCTGAAAGATGTTGAAATCAATGATAGTATTTTAATTGTCTCCATTGTCACTATTAAATAATATCAATGATTTACCAATTTTTCTATAAAAAAAGCTCTTAAATTAAGCTCTTAATTGTAAACATTTGTAACAACAACTTTTTATTTCAAAATAACTTATTATGTTAAGTAAATATATATACATTATAATTTACAATAATTATTATTTTATTTTTATTACATTTGTCAGATTACCTGACAATGATGTCTTTCAATGGAAAATAGTTATAACCATACACAATCTATATAATACTCCATGTTAAATTTATCTTTATGTTTCTTTTATTTTATTGATTCATAAAATAATATTAACATAATAATTTTTCAATTTAAAATGATAGATGGTTTTATAAACTATGTTTAGGGAAAAATCAATTTGGAAATTGTACAACTTATGAAAGGATTGATAGTGAAAAAAAGAATTTGAATACTGGAACAAATAATTAAAAAAAAAAAAAAAAACTCGACATTTATACCAGAAAGTGTTCCAGATCATACTTTTAATAATTTTCAACAACAAAATTTGCCATTCACAACAACAAATAAATCATCACATACTTCAACTAGAGATATTACTTTTTCGTCATTATGGCATGGACATAAAAATGATGATGAAAATACATAATTTGCACACTGGAACAAATAATTCAAGCAGTTCTCAATTTATACCAGAAAGTGTTCTGAATGATTTTTTTTTTTTTACATGATAGCGCGTTGACCAAAGTAATTTCATTACAGAAAAAAAAAATGTTTGTTTCTAAGCGCGTTACGAACGAACAAAAATCAATAAATCTTAAATAAATCAAACTTAAATAATAATAATAATCATAATAATAATAATAATAAATCATAATAATAATAATAAATCATAAAAATAATAATAAATCATAAAAATAATAATAAATCATAATAATGATAATAATTTATAAATAATAGTACAACTAATGAAAGAATAATAATAATTAAAAACATTATCAAAATACTATCGTACATTCATTGTTCTTCGATTTTCTTTTTCCGTTTTAAAATTTTTTTGTTTTTTTACGTCATATACAATCTTATTTTTAAGTTCCCCTACTAGTGGTATATACCTATACTATACGGGATTAAGTAGTTTGCGTTTATGTATACAATAATAATGTTATAATAATGTCGTTTACAGCCGAACGGATCAACGAATCCGATGTTACACACGTTTGTTCGATAAGTTTCTGATGGTAAACACGAACGTAATTCGCTCATTCCCGCGCTGCGCATGTTACCGAGAGCTAAGGTTCATCTATCATAATATTACTGTAATCTATGTACACGGCGACGATTTTTATTCTTTTTTAATAATAACATAATAAGCTCACGATACATATTTGGTAAAATAATATAATAATATATATAGAGTAACGAATAATATTTGTATAATAATAAAAATAATAAGAAGGAAAAAACGATTATATACAAAACACGGTTGTTAAATATTATTGATTTTTCGTTGGACCGATGTTTGAACGGTAAGCGGTAATACGAAAACAAAAGAAAACATTTGCTAATAATAAATTATAAATAATAATAATAATAATAATAATAAGAAAAAAAAAAACTTAACGTTAAAAATTGGTTACGGCCGGTAATACACAAACGCGCCAATAAACCGCGAGTATAACTAAACGACAATTTTCACCACACGCGTAGGCGTTTATTGTTATATGGTCGTCGATATTATGTACAAAATAATAACAGTTCGGCAAATTGTGCTGGTGCACATAATTTGGATTTTTTTTTTCCTTTCAACCCCGATAATATTATTTAATTGCAAGATACAGTCGATCAGCATAATATGTCTGTAGCTGAGAGGTGTGTTTGCACGCGAACACGCAATTTGTATTACAGAGGCGAACAGCTCTCGATCGAGTAATTCGAATCGATTGGCGTTTGAATCTGCAGCTGTTTCGCGTTTTCGTTGATAATCGTCTCTTCGCGTTTCTTGTCGATTTTCCGCTGTTTGGCCCGCCTGTTTTGAAACCATATTTTCACCTGAAAGCATACGACGGATTTTCCGCATTATAAATAAGGTTGTTATCGAAAATCTACATAATAATCTAAACGTTATAATAATAAATACAATATTTATCATAACACTGTGTGCGTTTGAAAGTGTGGTCGGTTCTCGGTGGTGGTTCTGTGTAGTTGTACAACATTATATTAGAACTATACACGCATACAGTCTTATTCCGACGTCTGCACTCGACCTTCAAAACAAGAATAAGGTCGAAATCTATAATTTTTATTCCCCAATTATTTAACTCCTATACCAGTGGTTTTCGACTTGCGCGTCGCGGCTCTCGGCAGGGGCGTCGTGGTTTAGTGTCAATGGTAAATATAGAAGAGCAATACGGTAAATTTATTTAATTTTTATCATCATTTTTCGGTGATTTGGATTTCAAAATCACGAGCCGTGGACACAATTATTATCTTTGATTTTTTTTTTTTTTTTTTTGGCGTACCAAATCCGTGCGAAACGAATTATTTATCATTGATTTCTGGGTTACTTTTCATGATTAACGCCGGTAGAAGCAAGCAATATTACAAAAAAAAAAAAAAAAAAAAAAAAAAAAACTCAAACTATCGGCGTTAAAACAAAATAGGTTTTAAAGGGTACACAGACCCTGCAACATTTAGGCGAGTATTATGACAATTTTTTCGAACTAATAAAATGAATAATGTCAATAACGCGATGACCTACTTTTATAATATATTTTGTACCTACCCAGTGGCGCTGTATATATTAAGTGTGGCGATTTCCAAACCTAATTTAAGGGGTGGCTTAATCCCCGAGCATTGGTGGTTTTTAAGTATAAAACATTGTATAGTTTTACAATATTAATACAAGGAGCGGTGGACATAATAGTACAAACAAAGCGAACTAGTCTATTCTTAGACTGTCGTAGTGTGCACTGTGTGATTGCGTTAGAAAAAACGGATAACTATTTGATTAATAGTTATACGATAGATAACCATTTGCACCCACCTTATAAATTTCTAAATCTACAAACAGCGGTTACAGCTAATTTACGGTGTTGTACGCAGGCTATACAGAGTGGATACATATACATAACACTATGACAGTATTGTTCTTGTTAAAACTATTATTGGTTATAATCCGAGATTATATATTTTTGTAGTACAAGAATAATAAAATTGTGTATGTATTTGAAAAATAAAAGAGCTGATAAAAATTCTACATTACGCAAAATTTTTTTTTGATCACTAAATAAATTATGTATTAAATCTCCTGTAAAATGATAAGTATTTCTGATTAGTCCAACAATTTTACCCGCAGAGTATCTAACAAATAAAAATTATGTAAAAAACTTGCAAAATTGAAAAGCCTATAGCTTAAAAATGATTCTAATGTTTTGAAAATTTGACCACATCTGAAAAAGCAAATGTAAGTTTTTCGTCAATATTTCAAATTTCTACAAATATTTTTAACTGAATTACAATAAAAAAAAAAAATTTAAAATAATAAAATAATAATTTTTGAAAATGATTTGTTTTTTCTACGTATTTTTTAGTTTTGCTCAATAAGTAAAAAACTACTAAGAAAATCAATAAACAACTTTCTTGGTCACCCACTAGATTAAAAATTTAACAAAAAAGATCTCTTGTTGTTTTCCTATTTAGAACAATATTTCTTGTAGAAAACGGAAAGCCTAAAAATTTAAAATAATAAAATCGTAACGCTATAAACTTGTCAGTTTTCATGTTACGTTTTTACTCAATTATTACAAAAACTATCAAGAAAAACAGAGAAAATAATAAAAAAAAAAAAAAACTTATTTACTTATAAACTAGATTAAAAATTCAACAAAAGAGGTCTTTTGCTATATTTCTATTGAAGCAATATTTATGGTAGAAAACATCGTGTGCGAAAATTAAAAACAATGAAATCGGTAAGACCACGACGGGCCGTAAACATTTGCCATTTTATCTAGAATTTTCTTTCAGGTTTTTCCGAATTATTTGAAAACCCATTGGAAAATCTAAAAATTACCTCTCTAATGCAAGAATAAGAGAATATTTACTTTCAAAAAAAATGCTACACTTTATACATCGGAGCAAGACTTCAGGTAGAAAAGTTATTTACAAACAGAAAAAAAAAATGACCAGTAGGTATATAAATAGTAAACCAATAGATCCTTTAAATCGTAAATAAACATCATTGTAAAACCAATGCATTCCTTGCTTCGCTTAGAATTTAAAATATTTATAACAATATTAAACAATCTAATAGTTTGAATTTGTATTACATGATATGATTTTGATAAAAACATAAATCATTTCTATGCTAATTAAAAATTAAACTACCTATTTATGTGTTCAAATATTAAATAATATAAAAATGTAAACATTATTTAGAATATAATATTATTTTTTTAAATAATGTTTTGTAGTTTAAGAAAACGGTATAGATGGTGTGGGGGGTTTTGCACGGTTTAGGTTCAATGCCGTATAAAAGTAGATGGGTATAAATTGATGTTCATTGTCCGTCTCCCTAGGGAGGATTTACGATCCTCGAATCGATTTCTGACTAACATAATTTTTATGTACTCGAGTTGTTTCCACTTGTATCCCTTAACAAAAAAAAAAAAAAAATTGTACCCTTTTACTTTGCTGTAAAACGACATTTTAAATAATGAAGACGGACTGCATTGCCACACCTAAAAAAAAATTAGTTCGGCACCACTGTATCCACTTATAACACAAGTAGAGCCCTAAAGAAAATGACATGATTTTATTTCGTTAGAAATTAAACACAAAAATATATACTTATATATTTATAAGTTTTCTTTGTGTTACCTTATTGTGTACGAGTTTTAACACACAAACAAAATAAAAAATTAACTCAAGTCGAGATTGAGAAAACTGTAGAAAATTGTATTTTCTTTGCGTCGTTATCGTTTAATATATTCTATTCTTCAATCTAAAACGTGAATAATATTTAAAATTGATAAACACATTTGTCGCAGAAAGTCATATAATAATAGGTAAATAAGTTGAACATTTTTTTTTTTTTTTTTTTTTTTTTTATTAAAATAACAATAATAATCGTACGAACAATACCGACTCGGTCAAGTGTTTTCGGTTTTTAAAATAATCACAACGTAATTATAGCGTCACGGACGATTAAACAATTTTAATCTCGTCGGTATTAAGCAAACAGTAGAATTATTTTATAATTTTTTTTTAGAAGAATATGATGGAGTGAAGAAGTTATATGCATATTAAAAGTGTACGTTATTAATATAAGATAAAGTGCCTTTACGCAATACACACTTGACTGATTTAAAGTTTAAACGATTCGCAGCAGATACCTAGCTACCTATAGTTAATAATTTTTTTTTTTGTTTATTTTTATTAAAATAACAATAATAATCGTACGAACAATACCGACTCGGTCAAGTTAATATTCTTATTATAATCTTCTTAATAACTTAAGTTAAACCATTATTATTATTATTATTATTTTCTAATGTTACAATATTTTCATAGACGTGAAAATTATAATTATTTTAAAATTAGTTTACATTAAAAGAAATCGAATTTAACTATTTTATCGGATTTTTGTCCTCCAAAAACACATATTGGCAGTACAGTTTTTTAACGGTACCTCTGTCATATTTAATATAGGTGACTATTTGAGGGTGTACACTGTACAATTAAAATATTCATATACGAACCGGGCTGGTAAATAATATTTGTTAATGTATTCGATCGTGTATATATAATTATTTAAATATAGGAAGGTATATATAATACAACATCGGCTTTGAAAAAACTAATTTCGGCTGCTCTGGCGATAAACGATATTTATTCTCTTTGAGGTATTATTCAAATTATTGTACACAGATACGATACACTTAATAATAAAGGATTAAACAATAATAAAGATATATTAACATAATAAATATATATATATATAATACTATATATAAATATTCGAGTGGAACATGTGGTTTTTGGGAGTAGTATTTTCCTTTGAAAGTGCCGACTGCGGTTCTTTTCGCCACAATATTTTAATACTATCGTATACGAACGACCCGTGTAGGTATAATAGGGACCGTATAGAAAATAAATATGTAACCTTTTTTTTTTCCAATTTGTTGCTCGGGAAAAATGACCTTAACGGTTTTTTGTTAGTATATTGTTGACAACACAATACGCGGTATGTAACCCACATCATGCTCGGGGTGAAATATAATAGAACAACAATAACTACAGATAAGATATATTATAAATCTTTTTTAATAATAAAAGTGACTATATATAATAATATATCAAACTATTTCCGTTATAATTTTGTTCTAAACCGTGTTTTTCGAAAATTTAAATTTTCAATAAAACCGGATTATTATTTATCATGAACCATTATCGTTATTAGGATTAATCATTTTTTTCATGTCCTTTACTTCCGAGGTTTTAATTCTTAACTGGTATAGGTAACTCATAAACGATAAATCCAATATTTATATATTATTACTGTAAGCTTCGGGAATTCTAGATCTAAAAAACATGCAAATATGCTTGAAAAAACATTCAAATACACATCAAAAAATGTTTTGAAATTGTATACTAAAAACGTAACTATATTATTTTTTTCCCATTATTAATGGTATCTACATAAAAACTTTATTTTGAGATTAATAGTATGAGTTATTGATCTCAATGATTGTTAACTATAGTGACTATTTTACGATAATTTATTGAATTATACTATCGCATATCAGTGCGTATAAATTTGAACAATACAAACCGGAAAAAAAAGTTTACAAAATACGTGGCATACGATAAGATAAGATACGAGTGTATATCCTTTTATAATATTTAAAAGTGGTATTGTTGATATGTAATAACTTATGTTAATATTTCACAAAAAAAAAAAAAATAAAAATAAAAAAACATTTAAAAACATACTACTAAAATATATGCTCTAAAAAGCAAAAACTGTAAAATATGTAAAACATAATTAAGGATTTAGATTCTTTACACGATGAACAGTATTTATGTTTAACTATGCTATTTGTTTAATCGTTTAAAAGTAATATGTAAATGTTAGAAGTCCTTTACCCTAATTATAAATGTTATGTGATTATTCATAGCAACATTTTTAGAATAATATTCTTTGTTTGAATCTGTGTCGAAAAGGGAGCAGGGTTAACATTCATCGAAGATAAACAAGGAGTAGGTGTAAAAATCTGAAAATAATGTTTGAATAAAGCCTAAACAATTCCATATAATGATTAGAAACAAAAATATCAGAAATCAAATTTACTTGAAATCCTTCGAGAAAATTGCCACGGATCATCGTGTACGGTTTGAAGTATTTAAAAAAAATTTAAATTTATTTTTGCGAGCATCTTGTATTTTTATTTTTATTTTATTATGGCTTAAAATAAATTTTAAAATAATTATGTAAAATCTGAAATCATTTGAATTCTAAATTAAAATAAAAAAATTATAATAATAAATTTGAAACTTTAATTTTTGTTCATAAACTATACATAGTCACACGAAATGTTATATAAGGTCAGTTTGTATTTTTATTTGACTTATAAAAGGCTAATTGACTTAAAAATACTTATTGTCTCGCAGTTTGTATTGAGTTAAAATTGTATAATGTATAAAAAATAAATGCTTTTCGGCTGTAATAAAAAAAAGAAGAAAAAAAGAGTTTATAATCTAAGTATATTAACTATCGGTTATACGGTTTGTTTTCGGCAGATCTACAAGTAATGATCCAGATAAGTATTACTGTACTCACTTGTCTTTCGGATAGACTCAGCATTTTGGACAACTCGGTTTTCCTCGTTATGGTAATGTACCGGTTAAAATGGAATTCTTTTTCGAGCTCCAAACGCTGCAAATCGGTGTATACAACCCTGTACTTGTCTTTGGTGCGTGTTCTACCTATATTTAGAAAAAAAAACTGTAAGTTAACAAACAGGTAACTTAAATTTCCATAAACAACTATGTAAAAAAATTTAAATAAGCACGCAAACAGACTAGGATACATTTTTTTCTTTGTGTGTTATGGAATTTTGACAATTCTACCTGTATTTCCGCGTAAAGCAGTTTTTACAATCAAATTACGGGCGATATATGGCATGATAAAAAAACGTCATAAACTTACACTTAATTTATCAGTGCAACTAACAGACAACATAGCGAAATTACTTAACTTGGAATTGAAATTGTGGCGTTTTGATTGCCATTGAGAGTTTAAACACAAGTAACAAAATTGAACCTTGCTAAACTAAAAAAAATAGGATACAGCTATTTTAAAAAGTGAAAACCAACATGAATGTTTTGTTTGATAATATTTTTTGGAAAAAAGTAACGTGCAGGTACCTTCGAAAATATTATCTATTTTAAATTTTGTTACCTGTATTTAAACTCCAATTGCAACCAAAAACGCCATAGTTTTAAGTTTAAAACAATTTCGTCGACCAATTTTCAATTATTAATTATTTAAAGAGTTCAAAAAAAAAAAAAAAAAAAATATAGGTACGAAATACGATTTTTGTACCGTTTATACAGTGATAAGGTATAATTACATAGACGAGTTTATTGTCTTCGAAATTTTGTCGTTTAGGTTTTATTGTTTTACGGGTGCGCGCATTTTCGCTACGTTATCCGTTGGAAGTGTACAAAAGCGGCAAATGCCACTGTGGCGGACTCTTTAAGAACCGTTTCCATGCACACGAAATATACTTAAGGCAACGTAAGGTACGACATAAATTAGCGGTAATTTCTGACAATATTTTAATATATAGTGCGCTGCGGCATAAGTACTAGGTGACATTTTTATTGTCTGTACAAATCGCTTTTAATATGAGTTAACTCGTGGCGCGGCAAATAAACATCGTATAATATTATATACTCTGTGTATAATATATTATTATACAATATTTGATCCGTCTTCTGTGATTTTTATTAATAATTATTATTGTTTTATTGATCGCGTACGCGCCATAAAACTGCTGCAGATTATAACGTTGAAATTATAATTTATTATATTATTATACATATTATACCTATACAACATTAAAAACAGTACACTCGTACTTAACGGTTTATCGAATCAATAATAATATGTATTTCATAAATCTGAAGACATTTTATATACATATATATATATATTTATTTATTCAAAACAAATGTATGCAGTGACACTATTAATAGGGTGAGGGGAACAGGGCGAACGACTCTCTCTCCTGGGTCTTAGAATTTATATTTGGATTCAATTATAAGTTGTTAAGCGTGAATAGTATATAGGTACCTAATGATTTCAATTTCTATCGGAAATCGGGGAGAAATTCGGGCCCCTACATTTTTACCGGTCGGTTTCCTTGTACAACAATAATTAGCCCCGGTGAAAACCAAAAAATCCAAATGTTTTTCTGAACCGGACACCACGTTACCTTTTCCCTCATTTTCCCACGAGTCTGTACACGTTTAGTTGTTCCATACATAGACGACATTTTAGTGTACAGAAACTTCACTAACGCTATAACACTGATGTTATATATTATATTAGTATAGATTATAATATTAAAATAATACATTTAGTGTACAACAACAATCAATGCGATTATAGATACTAATCAAACCGAAACATGTTTCTACCAAGAGCTGCATATTTTAGCACATATTAATACGTTCGGCGGAACAATACGACGGAAAACGCGGACGAAAACTACGAGATTTCTCAACATTGAGGTTCTCCATTACAATATCTTTGGTCCCAGGAAAAAAAGGGCACAATTATGTCAACGTTTGACAGTTTCATAACAACCGAATACAAATTTTAAAATTTGCTGTTAAAATCCCGAAAAGCCCTTCTTCCCCGGGAGACCGAATAAATAGTACCCTTTAGTACATCACACGTACGGAACATTTTAAATGCGAAAACGAAATCGTGAATTACATCAATCGTCCTGTACATGTACCTATATTGTATACGCATTAAAATATTGTCTATACAGCTGTATAATAGTATTATCGGATAGTCGATAGGTATTATGCCGGCTATACAACAATACGGTGAAATAAAAAAATATTGGACGACTGCTGCAGACAGTATTACAATATTAATCTATTCGCCAAATAAAATGACGTGTACTCGTATATGTATATTATTATTATTATAATATTGTGACGAACAAGAGTGAGAGAAACAAAAAAAAAGCGACGACGGTGGCGGCGGTAATAAGCCGTACGAAAACAATAATAATATTCTCAGCTAGCGCGGTTATCTCTCGCCGTGTAGTTTTAATTTTTTTAATATTTTTTTTTTTCCTGTCTTCCGTACCTGTACCTATATAGGTATATATACCTGCGTTATTTATACACACACACACACAGGTATATTATAATACGCGTGTTTAACTTGTTCAACGTTTCTCGTGCGTGCATACGGCGACAACACCGATAGGATAAGGTTTTTTTGTGTGTAATTCCGAAACGCGCGCGTTATCTTGGGCCGCTCGAGGTTTTTTTTCGAAAATAAGCCGACAAGCCACTCGAGATAATCCGCGAGCACACACACTCGTTTTATACAAAAAACACTCGCACGCGCAGACACCGCACACGCACGCACCGTGTGTACGAGGATATAGCGGACTATATGTGTTATACACCCGAACAATATAATTCTCCCGTTACTTTTTTTTTTTCTCAATCGAAATAACACATTAATATACAATACGATTCTCCGACCATCCCCCGGGGTCAAAAAACAAACCGTTTTTATATTACGCGCATTTTTCTTCCGAAAAAAAAATATAAAAATAATAATAACAATCCTCCCGATTTAAATCGGCGTTCCGACGATATATACAAATTCGCGAGCTCGATTGAAAATAAAGCCCCCGCGGTTATGAATGACCTCGCACAGTCATCGTACTATACGTGTAGCGGCGAGAAAAAAAATACAATTAGTGAAAAATGCATCAGCAATTTATTAACTGTTTTCGATAAACTGCATTTATTGTCCCGATATTCCCAGGGGAATTATTCGTTTTGGACGATAAATATTCCGGAACAACAAATACATATATATATATATATATATATATATATATATAATATTTAGTCTCCCCTCCTTGAGCCACATCGGCAAGTGATAAGCCTAAAACCAAGGAAGAGTCACCTTGCAGCAGGGTCGCATTCTCGGCATTATCTCTTAATACGACCGAAGATTAGCGTCAACTCCACGCGGAACAATAACTCGACGCTAAAAAAAGACAATATTATATTTACTTATGGTGACCCGAGGCTCGATCGACCACTGGCCAAAGGATTTAAACCGTCTAAATAAAAATAGTTACAGTAAGTAATTGTGAACGGTGAAAAGGCTGTGCAGAACGGACGTCGTCCCATTGCGACCCGTTTTGACCTATTTAATCTTTTTCGAGTTACGACTGCATCGGGTTTTAACAGGTATGCATTCGATTGCATCCCTATCGTAAAATTGAGAATTTCAATTGTGTCCGGTAGAATCCGATTGCGTTCCAAACGATCGAAATTTTCGATTTCGATTGTATCCGGCATTCGGTCGTATTATTACTTTTATTCTAACTACAAGCATTAATACTGCAGCAAATGGTACCTATAATATTTTTAATTTTAATAAATCAATTTTGATTTAGAGACAAACATCAATTAGAACTAAAACTAATACCAACAAAACACAGACCAAACTATTACAAAAAAACAAGAATTTATTAAATACTTTTAATTTAAATAATAAATCATAATAATAATTAAAGATCTTGTCTATAATTGTAAATTGTAAAATGCTGTAATATGTTCAGTTAAAAAAAAATAACTGTTAATTATAATAATTGTAATACCTATACCTGACATTTTTTTTTTTTTAATTACATTTTTCTAATGCTTAATTATTGTATGGATAATTGTAATGAGTAATGGCTAATAAATAATAATATTATATATATATTATTTTTTCTAAAATGACGCTACACAAAAATAAATCAATTTGATATCATGGAGCGTAAAGTGATAATCGAACCGCACTCGTTTTAGAGCTAAATGTGCGTATACCCACTGCAATCGCGTTCTGTCTGGTATGGAAGTTCTCGATTTTTCATTTAGGACACAACCGAATGCACATCACCTGTTAAAACCGGACGCGAACGAAATTCGATAATGGTGAAAAAGGTCAAAAGGGACGCAAACGAAATTTTGCCGGACACACTACACGACAATAGACATATTCTATTTATCGTTTACCTGACTTCGGGACGCAATCGACTGCATCCGTGCGGAACGGGTCACGATGGACGAAGTCGCGTGACGGGCATTTGAGGCATTTGTAGGTAGGTACACGGATACAGCCCGGAATACGATTGCGATTGTAGCGATGAAAACCGGACGACGCGGGGACGCGTCTCGTCGCTACATACAGATTGCCGCCCGAGAACACTGTAATTTCAAGGTAAAAAGATATGGACTCGGCCGCGTATGGAAGCTCGTATACATTATTGTGCATCTATTCTACACGATGTTATTGTGTAACACACACAACGGATAATAATTGTATTATATATACAGGCATAATATATACCTAACTACAGGCATCTATATGAGTTTATAGGTCTGCAGAATTTTGCGGGCCGACCGCGTGATATGTATTTGCGTTGCGATATCGACGGGAATTCGTTATTTTATTTGTATTTTATCTATTGAGATTTAAGGTGTACGCGTCAGTTGTATCGTACTCGAAACAATTGACTTACGAGAACGGTCGAGTGTCTCCGATACGCCGCACGATAACAACAATAATAATAATAATAATAATAATAATAATAATAATAATAATAATAATAATAATAATAATAATGATAATAAAAAATAATGATAATAATACAGGTAATTGCATACAATATAATAACACGAATCGTCAACGACGGACTTCGCGGGTTTCGTACGCGTCGTTCATGCGTCGGGCCGCGGCGCGCGCGTCTATAGGCTCCGCGGACGCGGGCGGCGGCGGGAGGACGCCCATTGGCCGGGCAACAATATGGCGGCGGCGGCGGCCGAGTGTGGTGCGAACAGGTGAACCGGCGCGGCGAGCGAGCACGTCGTCACGCGGAGACCAAAACAACAATAATTCATTACGCGATTATATTTAATTTCTAATTAAAATAATTACGCGCGACGAATATTATCAACTACAAGCACCGTGCGCGTACATCAAGTTACACATTATAATATTCTGTCGATCAGTGAAAACGTCCGAAAAAAAATCAGGTCCGGCGTGTATTATATCGTAATTAATATGCACTCGTAATATCGTTGAACACGCACGCAAAAGGGGCACTGACAAAAAAGTCAACATATTCCTAGACGAAATTACGAAATATGTGTAACAGAGTATAACATATTACGGATAGCATAGTAAATATTTACAAGTGTGAATATAGTATTTTCGATTGAGTTTAGTCAGCGGCGCAGCAGCCGCCAGCGGGCGGGCGGGCAGGCCTGGTAGGCTCGGGCCTACCCACCCACTTTTCTCCGAAAATTAACACGATTTTAATATCAAACAACTTGTACATGAGTAGTCGTTCCCTTTTCAAACATTAATATTATTTATCTCGTCTATCGAGAAAAATATTTCCAGTTACGCTTTTGAATCTAGTACATTTGTTAATAAGAAAAAAGTACGACAAATGTATCGTATGTTAATTGGAAATCACTAAGTTACTAACGTGTGTTCTATTCTCACCTTTTTTATGATGTTTTTATATATATATATATTTTTTTTTTTTACACGCCTCTACCGGGAGTAAATATGCGAAATATGCAAAAACATACAGAACATGCAAACATACACAACGTAAAATTGTGTTAATTGACCAATCAAGTAATATGATTTATGGACTCTCACTGACTGTATGGCATGTATAATATGACGTAAAAATTATCAGTATATGCAAAATCCGATATTTAATAATTATAATATACACATGGAAAGTATAAAATGTCTGGAAAACACATCAATGTCCAATAATGTTATAAATATTCTCAAATTATATATTATCGAATGCAAAAGAAAAAAATAATGCTCGACATATTGCATTCAAATAATAATACGCATTTTAACATAAATATAAATAATATTGGTAGTCTGCAAGTAGTTACACAAAACGAAATGTAATATGAACGCCGTTTATTATTAACATATTTTCTTCGTCTTCCAACTTTATATAGGTCTTTTATTAGATCCGACGTTGCATCACCCAATTCTTTCCATTTCTCTTTTCTAATGCCAGCCTCAATTATTATTTGTCATTTCTTACTCATTATTCAGATTTGCCCACCCGCCGTTGATTAGGCCTTCTTGACATTTATATTTAAATATTCTATCATTTTTGTGTCCACTTATAAATTATATATTGTACATCTAAATTTATTGTGAATTATAAATTAAACATTTGTCATTAACCTTTTCTCTTGTAATGTTAGAATTGATTAACTTTGAGTTCTGTAATTTATTACATTTTGAAATATATAATTGTAGTATATAAGGAAACAAATAAATCTTAATGTATTGGATTTACAATGATGTTTATTTTTTTTCTTATACTGTGTACAAAATGTCTCCTAGAAATTTTGTTCCAATCAAAACATCAAGAGACGTTTTCAATTGCACTATGTTCTAGTTGGTAATTTTTTAACATTTTCATTAATATTTGAGCTAATAAGGAAAAACGGGTTATATAAGTTAAAACAAATTAAAAATAATATCATTAGCAATCGTTTTTGTTTATTTTTTGTTATTATTGAGTTTGTATTATTTTAATCTTTTTCAAACAATCGCTGTTACCGTTGAAACGCACACACATCACATTGTTGAAAAAGCAATACTATTTACCGAGCTACACTCATAATAATTTTTTCGTTAACAATGACTAATCGTTGCACACAGATATAAATTAAATTTCCGTTTCTTCCCAACTTCTCACCTACAACAGTGGCCCACCCCCGTAGAGCAATGTATGTCCGTCCACTTTAAAAGTAAACCCTAAACATTTTTCAACGTCTTTAAAAAAAAAAAAAAAAAAAAACACTTATTTACAACATATATAACTTATATACATTTATTTATAATATTATATAAGTTTATCCCAATGCCCCCTGAGAAGGACATCTGGCGGGGTTAGGTGCAGTTTATGGAATCGATAATATATTAAAGTTCAATAACCCAACGATAAATAATATGTTCACATTAAATTATTTTATGTTTAGAAACGAATAAAAATAGTCATTTGTTAGTAACGAGGAAAGAACTATACCTACATTGTTTCTTTCATCAACCTGTAACGAGTCTGGAATCGGTCGTATTTTATTGAGGAGGACGTGAACAGATTTCTTTTTAAAAGGTATTTTCCGAACACTGATTTATACTGGCCTATGTCGCTAAACGCGTAATTGATCGTATTTGGCCGTCCACGGATCATAGCACCTAACATAGTTATTATGAATTTTCAATAGGGATCGGATCGGTTTGTTCATTTATTAAAATAGAGCTCAATAGCTATGAACACATTTGCGCACAAAAAATAACTAAAAATACATGCGTAAAATATGCATTAAAACTCGAATCGAATGAAATTATTAACGACAAAAAAAAAAACACACGATTTCACAAACATACGAGCCGCCCTAATATCGCATTGTTACCGTTCAATGAATACGATAATATTGTGACGTCCGTCGTCGTGAATTCTCAACATTATTATGACATCTCTGCGTGTATTATCATATTATTAGGTAGGTATGTGTTTTTTTTTTTTATGACACCCGTCGTCGTGATATGTTTTTATTACCGTCGGTTCGCTTTGTGACGTGCGTGACACACGTCTTTCGGAAAATACAACGGGCGCACTAAGGGTAGGCGTACTACATTTTTGACCGCCCGGCGGGGGGTTCCTATAAACCACCGTTTTCATTTTTTTTTCTCTCGCTGCCGTTTATTTTTTTCACACTGGACACGGCACACAAATAACGCGGAAATAATTTTTCACGAAACGTAGGTATTAAAATCGCCGTCAAAACATGCAATGCATACTGTCAATAAACTTAATTGCGCAAATATAACGCGTTTTACGATTTTTAATATTTTGAAATTATTTATTATTCCTTGTTTACTACCCTCTTATAGTTTTTTTTTTTTTTTTTAGTTTGTTTATTTCGTTTCACGCGTGCTCCCCGAACGCACGCACAATTGCTATCGGTTCGAAATCGACACTGGCACGGCGTGTCGTATCATCGTTTTTGAATTTTTTTCGAATCACCCCGGCAGTTAGCCGTCCCCGCGGGTCCGTTTTCGCGAGCAATTTTGCGCGCGGAACGCGGGTTTTTAAACCGTAAAAATTGAGCTCCTCGGCGGTTAATTTTTCGCGATTCGAGCACCGATAAACTACCAACGGTATACACTTTTAAGGACCGTCGTCGTCGGCGGCGGCCCGCGCGGTTGACGACCGTCAACGGCGACGGCGGTCGCGCTCACGTAACGACTCTCCGGGGACGCGTTTCTCGTTTCGAAAGCGCGCGAAGCGGCCGGGCCCGCCGTAGTCGTCGTCGTCGTCGTTTTCGCCGCCGCCGCCGCCGCCGCCGTGGTCGTAGTCGTCGGACGACCGTCGCCGGCAATCAAAACCGGGACCCGGACGGGTATGCGGGGCGCGGACGCGGCCGTCGCGTCCGGAGAACGATAAATCAAATCGTCGCGGCCCGCAGAGAATCGGTGTGTACGCGCGCGCGTCACGTGATATTTTAAGCCGTACGCGTTTTCAACACTTTAAATACCCTGTATACAATGTATAGGGCGGTGGTGTGCGTTACGCGACCGTAATTTTTTTTCCCCTCGGAACGGAACGCCCGTATACTTTTTAATGCTCGGCGTTAGTTTTTACGTTTTCTTTTCGCGCGGGCCGCAAACACATTGGCGATGGGGAAATCCGGTTGTATCGAAATTCGAATATTGAAACATTGAATTAGTTTTCTCTTACGGATCAAACTTACAATAAAGTTTTCATAACTACACTTGGGTTTTACTTTAGATTTTATGTAAAAAAAAAAAAAAAATTGATTTTATAATTTAGAACACAAAAATCTACGATGTCAAACCCAAAATTCAGATTTTAAAATCTGTAAATTCGAAATTCGCATTTCATAATCCGAAATTTGAACGCAATTTTTAGATTTTTTGAATGATCCGGATTTATGTCACATCAATAAAAAAACCTACAACTACTTACTGCAGTACAACAAAACGCAATCAGTTCAAAATAATGCGTATTACGTTTATTTTATAAAAATTACAAAATTAAAACTGAGCAAATTGTGTACAGTCTAGTGAGAACCTAACCTAACCTAACCGGTTCTCTATACATTTGTCCTCTATTGTTTTGTACTGTGATTAATAAGACGCGGTACACTATAACGCAGTGAAAACTCTTTACAACGAATCCTAAGAGACCACGAGATTCGTTGTAGAGAATTTTCGCATACCAGATACCTAATATGTGATACGAATTTTCCGCCCGGCGGTTACGTTATATTTATACGCATTGGATTTGAAACGTTTTCCTACGGGCGAGTATGGATTCCAAACATTTCCGCACTCTCACATAAATAGTAACATATTAGTTATTTTATTATTGTCGTTGTTACCTAATATATTAATCTGGGGCTTGGGTCAAAAAGGGCCAATCTCACTGATGCATTTTGACACGCCGTACCGTCACACAAATGATACTCCACTACTCTCCTCCAAACTTAACTTAAAAGTGGAATATCACGTCAACGGATCGACACTCAAATTTATTTTAACTTATACTCCATTTATTTATGTACTTTTTAATCATAGGTCACCATTTAAAATCAAAAGTAGGTAGTGGTTTTGTCCCAGATAGATAAGAGTGACGAAAAAATGACATTGATATAAAATTGTAGAGCAACTTGTTTCTTAAATGTTCGAGAGAGAAAACGAATTCCGGAAAAATGTAATACTTTCCGAGATAATGAGTGTACTCACTTATAAATGGATCACCTGGTATATACGGATCGATAATTCGATACATTGCCAAACCCGAATAAGTTGATATAATAAAATATAAATGTATATATCACTCAAATCCACAATCTCACTACAAAAGCGTCAGTAAAAAATTAATCATTTGAACAACTTCAGACCATAGCATAATAGAACATTACAATTATAATATTTAAAACCAGAGGATGATAAAATATTTTAAACTGATTCCGCACTATATAGATACTATATGAACAACTATAGACAGCAGATACCCCGTACAAAACTGCCGAATTTTTATTAGGTATCAAAAAAATTCGTGTTAAAATATTTTTCAGATCCTATATATTGTTGAAGTGCTGTAAAATAGTAAATCAATCAAACTTTATAGCATTGTTGGCATCGACACTGTGTCTGCAATTTATAATTATACTAAACGTTTCTGAATAAGTGGCGTTGATTTATTTTCTCAAGTTTCGATCCAAATGAGGTTTTTGACAATAATATACATACCATATCTAAGTATAATTTATACCTACTAAAAAAAACATAAGAATTTTAAAGTCGCTTTACATCGCATTTGCGTGTACATTTTTTTATTCGTTTTGGATCCAATAATATTCGATAAGGACTGTTATCACATAATATTATTATATAATAATAATCGCGCGTACATTCACAAGCGTACATTTTCAATAATACACTTTCGATTGTCTGTCTGCAGGAGTCGCCGATCGACACAGGGTGTAACGCGACGAACGGCAAGTATGTCGATAGTGACACGGCAAAAGGGTCTAAGCGACACATTTCATAGTTTTCAGAAGAGTCAAAAACATTTATTTGTGATTTTAATATATTTTTTTTTTTTTTAGATTAGCAATAACTTTCTTTTCGGTTGGAATATGGAATTTATTCATTTGATTAGCTTTCATAGTCGTTTAGGCCCTATAATCGAGAAGACAGAGTAAAAAGTATTGTTTAAACCCCAAACTCGAAATTCGAATACTGTTCGTCACAGGTGTTATTGTTGCGCGTACTACAATAACGGACGAAACACGTGTTTTTCTCCATCCCCAATAGCGAAGCCGCGTCGCTTAGACCCTTTTTGCCGTGCCGCCATCGACATTACGTAATATTTATGTATAGCCGGTGCAAATAATAAAATAACTGATGTTATAAGATAAACGCACGGCGTTTGTATACACACGTTTATACTAGTGTGCGAAATACGAAAAAAAAAAAAACCATATTTTTTACATAATATCCGTACATAATTCAAATGTGTATCGATTAAAAGAAGTTTTAACGACTCGAGGTCTCGATACAATATCGTAATAAATACCATTACCATTATTATTACGGTGCTGCTGCGTATAAATGTATAACGACGATAAATAACAATCGCTCTCCCGACATTATGGCTCGCGATGGCGCGTTTATCACCTATCCCGCGGATGCGCATCAGGTTGTTGTTATTTTTTTTTCGTTTTATGGTTTTTCTACCGCTATGATATTATTATTATTACGTCCAAATAAACGCGCGAGCGCGCGCGCGTTTGCGCGACCGTATAATAAGAGACGCAGTGCAAATGAACCGGGGCCGCCCCGGGTATATAATATTATTATTATTATTATTAATGTGAGTGTGAGCCGTCGTCTTGGTCGTTTTGATGTGAAGAATAAAAGTAACATTCCGCTGTGCGTGCGCGCGTGTACATACGCCGACTTATAAGTACCCATATTATATTGTATGGGTAACCTTTTTCTGTGGCGCGATGATGTCTCCATTGGAAGGACGTATTAAAAAAAAAAATATTGAACCAAAACCGTCAGAATAATATACGCGCGCGCGCGTGTGTGTGTGTGTGTGTGTGTGTGTGTGTGTGTGTGTGTGCGGCTATCAAAGTTATGGTTACGACCGAGCGGCGGTGCGCGCGGGAGCAGTCGAGTGGGGGGGGCGAATGTTTTTACGCAATAAAATTAAAGATAATGTTGTAGGTTTTTTTTTTCGCCGCCTCGTGTGCGCGGAAGGGTTTTTTTTTCCTTTCTTTCTTTCTGTACATATAATATTATTATGACGTACGGTTTTTAATAGCTCGCGTTTCTTCCGCCGCCGCCGCCGACCCGGACCAGCAATAAAATCCGTTTTTATAAAAGACGACGCGTCGGGCCACGACAACGCGGGCCACAGACTCTGCGCCGAAACCGGTATAAAAACGCCAATAAAATAATAATAGTATTAAACGTTACCCTGCACCTATGTGTATATCCTACCTGTACCCATATAATAATAATAATAATAATATGTACGCGGTTTAAATGTATTATTATTATTATTATTATAGAATCCTATAAATTATTATACATACGAAAACGTCGTACGAGGTTGTGCATAGGTATACATACATCTGTACCTATTATATTGGTTATGTATACGCGGTTGATAAGAGTTCTTTTTGAACTTGGGCCGGTCTACGTGTCGGGTGACCGCTCCGACGACTTATAATAACATACGTAATAAAGTGCGTACACAATAATAGCTGCCGATTATGAAATCGAATCCGTCCCGGAACGCTCTCTCCGCGTATTTTGTTAGGAAAATAAAAAAAAATACATATATATTCGTTGTATTATGTACAATATATTGCGCAGAGACAACCGCCAAGAAAGGAGTTGTCGAAATTCAACCCCTAAAGGACACGGAGTTTTTGATATATTTTTTCGTTTCCGTTGATTTATGAGTTACCGCCGTGACACGGGATGAAAAAAAAAACACAGTTGTTATTTGTTGATTCGGTTTTCACGGGCGGGAAAATATTTTTATTTTTTTTTTTTTCAAATAACGGACGTTTTTCCCTATTATAAAGGAAATTCCGAGAAAAATCGAAAAATCACCAGTTTACGCATCAACTTAACAAAATTTTATAAGAAAATATATTTCTTGAATTTCGGAAAACAATTATTCCGGTAGAAAAGCTGTTTAAAGATACAATCAGAAAAAAAAAATGGAATACATCACAATAAAACCAAAACATTCGTCGTAGCGCTCGGGATCTAAAATAACTATATATTGGTTATTAAATGTCTGCACTACCTTCAAGTTCACCAGTTCGTAACTGGGAAAAACAAAACACGACTAATACTACTATACTATAGCAGTACACAAAGAACATAGTTTAAAATCGTTTTTCCGTAGCAACGATTTATCATTGTTTTCGTGTATACTGATATAAGGTGAAAACCCTTTATCGAATCTTAAGGAACCAAGACATTTCTTTTGTTACGGACAGTTTTCGCAATAGAGAATGTTAAAGAACTAATGCATGGGTTAACGTTACATAGAATTTTTCGTTGGAAAAAAATTTCCCATTATTAATTGACTTCACTATATTATAAAATACGCGTATTTTATACCTTATATTCCATTATATCTTTTAAACCTCCCGCCCACATTACAGTGGCCTATTCCTATTCCTTGAAAACTGGAGCAAAGTACATCCGACTTTATTTAACCGATATAGTATCTTATTGTCATCATTAAAAAAACAAATTGTTTATAATACGAAACGTCAGAAAATGTTTGTTTCAAATGGTTAACAATGCTCAAACACACACACACGATACACTGCAGCTGTTTAATAAACTCGCGCTATACATATGCCTACATCATTTTACCAATAATTAGTTTGGAAATTTAAATATTTGATGACATACAAGATGACACTATTTTAGGGAGAAAAAAAAAGAAGAAGAAAATTCAAGTGGTAGACTATAATATAGTTTAAACGTATTAATCTTATGTATGTATGTATGTATGTATGTATGTATCTTATATATGATAGCGATTTCGCGGTTCTTGTTGAACATTACCATATTATTTTACACCCTTCAAAGAGTTTGTAAGTCATATAGTTTCCTAATTTTAAAGAAATTATTAGTTCTATTAAATTAAACAAACTTATAGTTTCAAATAAAAAAAAAAACTATATTTAAAATTCGAAAATACGAAAAACTTTAAACATTTTACCACGGTTAATATAGTAAATATATTCGGTGAAAATGTTAGGTTTCTATGATTATTTTTAGCTGAATTATAACAAAAACATAATCGAAAATAACGTAACTTTCCCGGCTTTACCCACCCCTCCATTATTAAGGAAACTGAGGATGATCAAAAATGACCTCAATGACCTTCCCAATGCGCCAACTAGATTCAAAAGGCTACGAAAAAGTTCCTTTATAAAGTTTTCGATTAGAGCAAAGTTTCTGGTAGAAAAGTTTTTTATAAAAAAAAGTCCAAATACGACAAAAAGAAATTTTTTTTAACACGTATAGAAACTTTGTTTCACAAAAATGTAAGTTTTATTAGGAAACTATAATTTATAACAGGTATTAATAATAAGTATATAACAATCTACAGGCGATCGCTGTTAAATGATAACTTATTATAAACTTTGATAACTTTAAATAACATTCGTAAGGATTTCCAATCAAGTAATCAACATTTGTGTTTTTTGATTTATACATTTCAAATAATTATTTACAATGCTGCAGTTATAGTCCGTAATAATAATATAATTTTGTTTAGTTTAAGTTTTATGGTAGAAGACTTTATGGGAAACAATATTATGTAATATACATATAGTATAGTTTTTCTGCTGCAGTGTTGATTTCGAGTAATGTTAATAATTGCCAGGTTGTAAATGCGTAATTATGTTGTTACGGTTTTTTTTAATAAAATATAGGTAATGATGAAATGTTATGAAAACTTCAATATTCATTTTTCATACATACAAGTTATTAAAATGATAACTATATTCTATCATCACTCAAAAGGCTACCCGGCAGATCGTTTAATTTTTTTTTTTAACTATTTCCCTTGTCGCGTGCAAGTCATTTACGAGGGATAATCAAAATATTTCGAGACTAATAAAATTACACGGAAACCGAGCGTTGAAGAGCAAAACGATCGGTAACCTATAGCTAGACTTCTTCCGAGCACATCTATTCTTGTAGAATCTTCGTTTTGATTCAACGATATTTTTCTAAAATATGTTTTTCACGTTTGGCGATTTTGCGTTGAATCCAAAATAGGAGAAAATTGCTGCCACTCGGCGACGCATCTGCAAATTTTTCAATTATATATTTTCGGCATAAACCATGCAATGTCGTGTTTTTCGGAAACAAAAACAAAAACAAAAAAAAAAAAATGCAAAAAAGTCTCTAAAATCTCTAAAACTGTTAAGCCATTCTTCTTTTGGATTCATTACAAAACGGCCAAACTCGACAAACATATTTAAAAAAAAAAAAAACATCAGTGAAATCAAACCGAAGAAGTTTATATAGACAATCTATAAAACCGACAAATGTGCTCGTAAAGTCATAGAAGCAAGCGACACCGACCCTGCTGCTCTTCGCGACGCTCGGTTTCCGAGTAATAAATTATCGGTCTCGATACTTTTTGATTGGATCTCGTGCATACAGGCTCGGATTGATGCATAGGCGAGGTAAGGCGCGTTCCTGGGGCTAGGCAACAGCAAGGGCTATTTCATTTCTAGCAATACACGGTAGCGTCCCGAAATTGAGCATATCAATTTAAAATGGGATGAAGTAGGCGACATAATAATTTCGAATTTTAAAATTTAAACCGCTTATGAGTCGTAAGCCGATTTCGCAGCTAAAGAGCGTTGGTTATGATACAGGCGCGTATTATTCAGACGGTTACAATGATTACATTGGGCTATTAACGCATACGTGCCCAGTGCTATAATTGGGCTTGAAACGGCTCGTATGCATACGTGAATTCGATACATTCGCGTTAGAAATTCCCACGTGCGACGATTTCACGGGTGTATCACGACGTTTTATAAATATTATGTGACGGCGCGCGTCACCGTGAACGGACGGTGGGGTTCGACGATATTTCTCGAGTTTTCTATACGTATAATAGAAACTAACGAATAAACCTTTACGAGAAACGATAAAACATTATACGAGTAATGAGTATAAGTATATAATACAATATACACTTGTATACGCGCGTAGATGTTTAGTAGTGCCGAAGATTTGTTTACGACGATTTTAGGTATATAGTATTAAAAAAAAAAAAAAAAAAACGGACATCGGTAAACACGGGCGGTAATAAATTTTAGAAATGCCGCAGTAATGCTATCGAGCGATCGTCGCGCAGAGATTTATTATCAGCGCCGTAAATACAAAACCGATAAAATAAAAGAAAGAAAAAAAAAGGGCCGAAACGACCTGTACCTGCAGTATACGCAGAATCCGGGCGGAAAGGTTCGTAGGCGCAATTGCTGCATGCGTACACATAGGTACCTATACCGTATTATAATGATGGTTTAAACTCAAAGGGTAAGGTCGAATGTCACTCGTTTTGCGCTCGGATTAAAAACGGATAACGGCCGGACCGTACTCGGGCCGTGAAGTACGGCGTTTTGACAAAAACGTTCGGAAAAAAATGTAATAAATTGTAACGTTTTGAAAACACTCGGGTTTCCTTACCCGCTCACGATTTCCACGCGATTTACGTTATTCTCGCCACACGGGTTTTATGTTGTTTTTTTTTTTTTATCGTCGACCGACCGCGATGCACAGAGTACAAATGATTGTATCGTTTTCGTGCGTTTTTCAAAATAGAAACATGAAAGAAACCAAAAAAAAAAAAAAAAAAAAAACACGTCCAAAAATGCCCCGAGCCCTGGTTCGGGGCCTCCAAATGTCACGGGCCAGCGGTGTGTGCCCGCCATGCCCTCGTATTTACGCCGCCGATGCGTGCGTGCGTATACATAAATATTATATACTCGAAACACAAAATATTTGATGTGCCTGCGGTGTGTATAGCAAGTCCGCTGCGTTACGGAGCCGCCCCCGGCGTAGGATTTCTTCGTCGTTATAATAATGTTGTCGTTGCAGTGCACCTACCTATATTATGCGCTGTGCGCGGCCGGCAACCGAGTCGTAAAACTTTGTGTGTTTACGAATACGTATATGCGTATACACACAAGTCGGGTTAGGTTAGCCAGTCGGTTTTCACAATAAAAAAAAAAAAAAAAATACATAAAACACGCAAGCACTGTGTATGATAATATAATATTATAATAGAACGCGTAATAATATTAAGTGCGTGCGTTTGCGTCGGCCCCGCAACGAAAACCACCGTGTGCCCACAACAATTATATTATCATAAAGGTACTAGGTATATTATAATATTACATTTTTTAGACATATTTCAGTAGCCCGTTGTTACTCGCTCGTTAGCGACATTCACGTGTAAACGGCATCGTATCAACGGAGAGAACTTCGCGGTGCGCGAAGAGCCGAGTGACTGTTATACGGGATGTTTCGACGACCGGATGGTATATTTTAATAATCGAAATTAGCAATAGAAAACGACTGCAGACGCGGGTTTTGGACACGCTCCGAAGCTTTGGAACCGAATAGATACTGTTGTACGGAGAGAAGTGACGGAGGATGTATGGGGAAATTAATTTACTCGGAGGGCTGGTCTTGGAAGCCGAAACCCGCAATAATAATAATAATATATATTGTGATATTTATACGGTAGCCAGTAGTATTCTGTGTCCTAATAGACACACAGTACATCTTTATTGGACACCACTGCAGTGGAACAAGAGATTTGGCTTGTTGTGTGTATCGACTATAGAAAATAAATGGTAAAATATTGAATTGGTAAATTTTGTCGCAAACTAATATGTTTTACACGTAGAAAATATTCTCACTGGCGGAGAAATAACTGACTGGGCTAACTTTAATGTCATTGTCATCATTAATATGTATACAGTAAGGCCATTAAGGTCCAACGCCGCCGTCACAACGCATTACAGGTTTTTCGTTATGTAGCGAAATTTTAAATAATAATAATTAGTAATATTTAAAAAAAAAAACCGGAACGATTTTTTTTATGGAAATAAAACGTGTATTTATAGTGTCGTGAACAGTTTCAATTTTTAACCGTTTTCTTTGGAAAAACGTATCGTAAATGGAATGCGTGCAGAGCGACGTCGACCAGAAGTTAATAAAAATCAAAACTAAAAAAAAAAAAATCACGTTATACGCTTCCCATAAAGTAATTATTCCATTTGACAATTCGAATTATATTATACGGTTGTATAATTACGAGTATATAGAACAACATTTGCACGCATTTATGCGAAACCGAGATTCCGTTTAATGTTCGCGTTTTATGTACTACTCGCTATACAATATTATCCTCGTAATAAAATAATTGAAACGGTATAAAAATTGTTTTTGATTGTGTAGACTTCAATCGCGCGATACGATTTTTAACGCCAAATAAATAATAATTATAGAGGAGCTGACGATAATTCAAGTCGAACGGCGAGTGTGCAATGAGTACTTACACCGCGACTCTTCACGGACAATTTATGGCGCGTATAATGCATACTGTAAAACCATAAAAAAATTTTTTTTTTTTTTTAAAAAAAACCCTCTTAACCGTCTGGCGTAATGATTCGGCGATGTTTGCATCCAAAAGACCCTTTTTTATTTTGTCTAATCGTCTGTAAATTCGTAAATATGTGTGTCTACTGGTTGCGGAAAAATGACTTCTCGCCCGGGTAGGCATCTGCTCTCGTTGGTAGGCGGAAAGTTCGCGAGGTACATAGGATATTATGGGACGATTGAGTTTATATAATAATGTGCAAAAAGAAACACGACAAATCAATAAAAAAAACAAAAATAATAACAATAAAACGAATATGAGCGGAGCTCGGTAAACCGTGATGGCAGCCGAAGTAACCAAGAAATCAACGGAAATATAATTTTTTGTTTTTAATTTTCTAGAAAATTTTACCAACCGAAAAAGCGTATTCCGAGGGCGAAAGAGAAAAATAATAATTTTAGTAAAACTATACCATCAATTGCACATCACTCGGAAGCTCGGTTTAATAATCAATATCCGTTAAAATTAAAATAAATAAATATTCGAAAGTACGTATGTGATATAATAGTAAAAAGATATTAGTATATTGAACTCGACAGTAAAAAATAATGTATATAGGTATATACGCTACTGTTGTGATAATATTATTTCAACCGAAATACGCATGAACCTAACACATAGTTTAGAGGCAGTCGATGTGAAACCGTATATACTTACGGTAATTTATTATTTTATAATAATTCGAACGACTATTTTATTACCTATATTCTCACACGCGGCTGTTATATTATAGTCGTGGCCAGCGTACCTTAAAGAGGCCGGCGAGGGGAGAGAGGGGTTGAAGCGGTAATAAAAAACGCCTTACACAAATTATAAAATTGTATTTCGTTCATACGCTATTACGGGTAACTATTTTATGCTATTGACGTATATTTTTTGGTATCGTCAACAGTGTAATAATTTCAGTTCGATAGTGCAACCGTCGTAAAATGGCGCGATGATGACGTATTTTGGGTCGGCACAGTCAAAACGAACATTAAAAACAGGCGCGAAAGTTCAAACGTTCGCCAAAACGTAACGTCGAACATCACAATATTATTATAAGGTCCGTTAAACAGAGATAAAAAAAAAAAAAAAAAAGTGACAGAAACAAACCGGTGGCGGCATATTATGCGTATATGGGTACAGAAACATAATATTATTATTTACAATGGAACGCGTGTTAAATTTATGGACACCTGTATACGATGATACGGGGCGAGAGGTGGCGAGCTACTCCCCGCGAAGACGTCAAATCGTTGAAATATATTATGGTGCAGTCCGTATATTCTAATTTATTATAAACACAACCCTTATTCGATTTGTCGAACCGCTGTCATAAACGATTTAATCTGTTGCGTGCGTTTAGATTGATCGACAAAAAAAAAAAAAAAAAAAATACTATTATTTCTTCCTGAAAGAAACGGATCCTATATCAACTCAATGATAATAATACGTAATAATGTGTACCTATAGCGTTGATCGCGTTTAATCAGAAATGTTGACTATCGACAATTTTTATCGATATTTTTTTATCTACAATACCCATGTTCAAAAGGTGAAGTGTAAATAGATTACCTCTTAAATTTATACAAGAAACGAAGAACGTCGTTCGACGCCGCGGAACATTTTTGTAGAAATGTTTGATTTCACACATCGCATAATGTAAATTCTGGTTTTACATTTTTTTATCCGTCTTCTCAATTCTTCGGCCAGAAATCTTGCTCCAATCCAATCAAGGGTAGTTTTTGGATAGCAATTTTCGGAAAGGTCATTTTTTCGCGTAACAACCATTGTTTAATTAGAGTTGACTCTGTTATAGATCTTTGTGTTATTTTAGTCGTCTTTATTTTTCAACATATATTCAATGTAATATTATGTTAAATAAAAGCTTCACGGACGCTCGGTTTTTTAATTAGAAACACTCACGATTTTTAATAACATTTTGTCTTTGCATACAATATATTTTTCGCAGGTTCGCTCGGACAATGGAATATGGTTTCATTTTATGGAATTCATATCAAGCTATGCTGAAAACTGAACGCGTTCAAAACAAATTTCTAAGGTTTATTAATTCAAAACGTCTTAATAGTTATATAGTCATTTTGACCACAACTACGAACCTCTTAGGTGTTTGTTAAATATCAACGCCTTGAGTTCGAGACGCGCATACTGTAACGTGTTGTTTATTTATAAAATACTGGCTGAATTACCTGGCGTTGCCCGGAAACAAATTCGTGACGAGTTAGATAACGCCATGTATTACCGTTTACCGTCTTAAATTCATAATTATCGATAATATACATAATAACCGAATATCTATACATTTATTTTTTATCGATAAACTTCTCGGAACAATTGTATTCTCGGAATCATTATTCTTATCTACACGACGACGACGACGACGACGAACAAAAAGGATAGGTTGCAGGTAGCTGAAGACCCGCGGGCCGCCGTGCCGCACAATACGTATTGGCGGTGAATAATTATAATTGTTAATTACTCCACTGAAACGCAACATTTTTGAAAATCCCTCCTTGTTGCACGGTGAAAATACGAGAAGAACCCATATTCCAAATTTCAAGTCCGTACGTTACGTAGTTTTTGAGATACAGCGATCAGTCAGTCAGTGGTATTCGGATTTTATACGTATAGATTTGCATGGTTCAATTAGCGACGGTTTTCTCCCGGACAATATTTATTTACATCAACACAACACAACGGTGTACGGTTTTTTTTCGCCTATCAACAGAGCTCCGGCCTCTTGTAATATTCTTTAAGTTTAGATTATAGCGGTTCTCAAACTGTGGTCCGAGGCCCCCTGTAACGTCCGCGATATTCATGTCGGGGGCACGCGGAGGCTCTAACGGTAAATATGTATTACGATGACACGAGATATTTTGTAAAAATAGGTATTCGAAAGAAAATTGGTAGAGGGACCATGATATGTAAAGGTCTTTAATCAGGGGTCCGTGTGCACCAATAGTTTAAAAACCGCTATTGTTGTAAAGTAAAATAACATTAAAGACATTTCGTATTCCTCTCTAGTGAAATTACGAACCGGCGCTTTATTGCTCTAATTATTTGTAACAATATGTTATTCTTTTCAGTTTATTACTCGTTGTGGTCGTTGTGGTCAAATTCACCACGTTCGAATATTATCCCCGAACGTGCTGAAGGGGAACACCACACAATATATATTATTGCACGGACAATAAGAGGACGCCACACCGACATCTACTGTCTCCGTTTAACGAACGCGAGACACAGCAGCAAATTTGCGTTCAGTAGGACACGTTTTGCGCCGCTGGTTTTAATACTAAAAAGCAAATCGACTCGTTATCAAAATTTAAGCTAAGAAGATTATTATATGGCTTACGAATTGGTGTTTTGGCGATATTTTAATTAGTAAGGGAAATATAATCGTTTTTAAATTTCGACGTTTAACACACTCGTGTCCCGTTTAAAAATAATGTAAATAACAGGTCGATTTGCTTTAATATTAAAACTAACGGCACAAAATGTGTCCCACTGAACGCGAATTCGCTAACGCCTCGCGTTTGCAGATGTCGGCGGCGTGGCGTCCTCCTGAAAGACGAAACCCGTTTTCACGATCTGCGGACTCTCCGCGCAATGTTTCCGTTGGCCTTTTCCGTAGCCGCAGCACTACGCTCGCGTGCACGACCTCTACACCTCTGCGCGATTACACGGCCGAAAACGAAAGCGAATCGAAAATTCGATCGCGCGACGTACACGCAGGCAGGTATAATCCCCGGTATAGAAGAAAAGGCGAAAAAAAAAATGGACTTTTCGAATTCGATCGTCCCGAAAGTCCGAAAACCCGTTAAAACGACAAGCACAACAATAACGCAATCGTTATACACTCCAAAAGCAGTATATGTAAGTATAATAATAATATTATTATTATTATATGTATAGGGTTGTCATAAAAACCACTGCTGCAGTGCTGTGTACGCGACCGCTGCACACAGTCGTACACAGCTCGGAATCGCTGTAATAACAATGGTACGAACGATATAAGTGCGCAATTTTTGTTTCGTTTCGTTTCGTTTTTTTTTTTTTTTTTTTTTTTTATATTTGATTTCCCTCGCACAGTGGCCCATTACAGTTAGCGCGGTGCGGCGGCGGCAACGAGTCCGTTTATGTTATTTGTATGTGAGCGGAATTTGATGATTGTATATAAGCGTTCCGAGTCGTTATGCCGCGACGGGACGGGACGGGGCGAGGGGGCGAAGGGATTAATTGGAGGGCCACTGGAATGGGCCGCTTGGGAGCCATTGCGGACACAAAACCGGAAACACAAAACGCGGGGAAACACACTGTTCCGCGCGCGCGACGACGAGCGCACCACTTCCGCCGACTGCCGGCGGAGACGAGGACGGCGACGGCGGCGGCGGCGGCGACGACGAGGAATACGCGCCGCAAAATATTATATACGTATATACGGCACGGGGGAGGTGGCGTTAAAACCTCGCCGGCGGCGTCCGATTTATTCGCAGTTAATACGCCCGTTTTATATTAACGCCGCTGCAACACAACACACGGCTGTTATTCGCCGCCACCGAAACGCGCGACGACAACTGCGACTGTACACGCCGAATAATAGGTACGTCACAAACGCACGCGCTGCTGCCGCGTACCGACAATAATGATAACTATGGTTAGCAACTCCGGGATCCGTTCCGGCGCCGGGTCGTCGATCCGCGTTCACCGCGTTTCAATGTACACCAAATTCCGTAGTCGTTTCCCCCCTCGTTTCCGGGGTAATTCGTGTGACCGACAACAACAAATTCTTCCCGTTCGTCCCGAACGGATATAAGACTGCCGGCGAACATAAAACGAAATTACCACCTCAACGCACCGGCAAAGTCGAAAACGCCACAAGAAAGTTCCTAGAACGTTATCGATTGAAACAACATACGTTTTGGTATAGAAATATCGTTGACAGAATAAAAAAAAAAAATTAGATTATTTTGACGATTTTGTAAAGTGACTAAATATTTTTTTTATTTTTTTTTTTTAGTGATTAGGGGATGAAAATAAAACGTGTATCTAAATAGATATCCCTCTCAAAAAACACAAGATTGAAAAAATACGTTTTTGAAAATTGAACATTAACAGCTTTAGAAAAATCCGTCAAACACCAATGGGTGGGACACTCGGAACGTACCTATAAAAATGGCCGGTTTTCAAGTTCTGATCAGAGGCCAACTGAAACTAAATTCCTGTCTTGTAAATTGAAGTAGCTATTTGTAAATGTCATTTATTTCTGCCCATCAAATGTGTTCGTGCACAAGATTATTACAATTTAAATGAGTAACTAAACATAATTCATTTTTTTTTTTTTCTAATACATAGATACATCGGACAATTTATGTAGTAAGTATATTTACATAATGTATGACAATATTTGCTTAGTGAAGAACACGGTTTCTGATGAAATCGGCTATCGAGTGCCACGATTGATTATGGTTTTAAAATATTTAAATACAATATAATATAAACGAATTAACTCTGAAGGGCCGTTGTATAAACTGTATTCGCGTATTACACTATCACCGTCGTATACATACATATTTCATTAGATACCGAAATGAAAACTTTAGTTGTATATAATCAATTAAAAACATAAAATAAATGCATTAAAAAAACAAAAATATTAATCGTACAATCGAAAAATCACATTAATATTTTTTTTTTTTTTTTAAACTCAAAATACATAATATCGAATTAAAATAATAAGTACAATTATAGGTAAGATAAATAATCGTATTTTTTTCGAATGAATCAGTATAATAATATATTATTCACTAAATACACATTATACACGGTTTTTGTCGAATTTTCCACGAAAATATAGATACTATTGCGCTGCATATTTTTCCCGCTACTTGTGGAGGATACTTGGCGGTCCACTCAAGAAAAAATTAACTCTAACGCCGGACTAAGAGTTGTTTTATAGGCGGATGAAAGTGATACAAGTCGGATTGAATTTCAATACAAATTTCACTATCTTGTTGTTACGGGTGGAATGAGTGTGTTTTTTTTTTTTTGGCTTCGAACTCTTCTACGGACCCCTCATAAATGAATCCACGGGGACGAAATTTTGTATGTGTGATGACGTTAGTAACAAGGTTGTGCCTTTTGGAAGTGGTTTCAACTTTAAACGCCCACCCATACAATATTTATCTTTAAATTTACATCGTTTTTTTTTGGGGGGGGGCGTAGTATAATTATTGTAGTATTGTATTAGTATTATTAAACAACACAAAATAGATGGGAGGGGGAATTCGACTTCATGAAGTGACGAAGCTCTAGTATGAACGAACCTTAACATATATATACGTATACGCCATAAAAAATCCCAACATTTTTACTATAGCCGAAAAAGTGTTTTCAAAACAAAATACAACCATTTTTTTTTTTATCTTTTAAGTGTGAAATTAATAGTACTAACAAGCGAAAAATCTTTTCAGGTATAGCATGAAAAATCGGAGTTTTTTTTCTACAGTATATTGATTCGCATATATGGTAACCTTGTTATTCAGCTTGACAATTTTTTTTTTATAAAATATAATCTGCATTGAAATTTATAAACCTATAAAATGAAATATATATTCGTGCAAGAGATAATCGTTTGCGATATGTTATTATAATTTATTTGCTGCAAATAATATAAATTAACATACCTAATACTCGAACACGTAAAAAATACAAGTAGGTATAGACGATATAGGTATAAAAAATAATGCAAACAAATAATATAAATCTTATCTATATACTCGATCATTTTAAATATTAAAACGAGCTATACGCTGCAGTATAATATTCCGAGAAAGATTAATAAATTTATACGTCCTTGTAGTTTTTTTTTTTTTTATAGTTCATTGGATGGTTTTTTTATTGTTATATACGAATACAAAAAAAAAAATGTGAAAGTACCCCTATAAGATTTTTGAAAATTAAAACGAAATTAAGGGACGTGATCTAATAATGTCATAATGTTCGTTGAAACTCGAGTTTTATGTTGTAGTTATAAGTGATGGTGTACATTAAAAAAAATTTAAAAAAACCATTTATGTAACGATATATGTTTTATAGTCAGCACATTTTTTTTCTGTAAATCAAATATATCACCCTCACAAATAAAACAACGTTATTATTCTGAGAAAATTTAATTTTAAAACTACGTCTAATCCCAAATGGTTATTGTAATTTTAAAGACTTAATTTTCTTGTTTGTAAAATAGTGTTTATAGTGTTTAGTATTACCCGAGGTATGTCATTTTTTTTGTTCTGTTAGTAAACAACTTTTCTACCAGAATTCATACTCCGATAATCAATTGTAGCATTTTTTTTCTGAAAGAAAATGTTATCTAGACATTAATACGTTAGAGAAGTCATTTCCTCGCAGTTTTCTTAATTATTGGTAAATATAACAAGATTGGTATTTTTCATCATAAAAGCTGAATTTCGCTATATTTATAACACTAGGTATTTAAATTATTTCTATATTTCTAAATTTATCTTTAATTGTTAGACTAAATATTAAAACCAATTTTTTAAAATATTGGGCTTCATCTTAACTATTTGGGGTCAGCCATCCTCGTCCTAAACTTCCACTTGTCCCGATTTCCCACGTCACAAACACCGGCTGTCCTTATATCATGATTGTTCTTAATCGCATCCAATTTCCGATTTTCTTTTCTCCCTCTTTCCTCCTACGTTTATTTCCATTACAATTCTACCGTTTTAAATTCCTCTCGCTTTATATCCATCGCAGTATATTTTCTGTAATTTTATCTGTACTATCAAAGCCACGATCAAGCTATCTCTTATAATATACTGATTCCTTATCCTATCTTCTCTCGTCGCTCTACTCATCTACCTAAGCATTCTCACCTATGCTACACTATTTTTCTGTCTATCACCCAACATACCAAATTATGCAATATAGTCGGTCTAGCTACATTTTTGAAGAACTTATCTTTAAGTCTCGTTTCAATTTTCTTGTCACACAAAACACACCAGATGTTTTTCTCCACCATTCTGTTTCACATCATTGTCAAAGCCACCATTATTTTGTAATCCAAGGTTTAATTTGGGCTATATGTTTTTTTACGTATTGAAAAATTAGTAGTATTTATAATTATGTATTTTATTTTTTTAGTATATAATTCAAGTTTATTATCAATAAGTCAGTGGCATATATATAACTTTTGTATGGGGGAGGGGGGATCAGTTTCAAACAATTAATTTTGGAAGGAACATTATGAAATAGAAGCAAATTATTTAAAAATAATTAATAGATATTATTTATTTTAGGCACGTTAAGAAATAATCAATAAAAAATATATTAAAACATTTTATTTCAAAATTCTACAAATAATAATACAAAAATGTACTTTATTTTTTAGTCAATTTATCAATTACTTCTTTAGCAGCGATAGGAATGACCACGGCCGGTCGGTCAAATTGTATTCTCGACTCTTATTAAAATTATATTTTATACGTATATACCATATAAGAAATCAATATATGATTAGTCATTAGTAAATTAATTTTAATCCTTGGAATATTTTTTTTTCTAAGTTTCCATGTAACGTCCTTACAATAAGAACATTAATTTATACGTTTAAAAAAAAATCCTATTGAGAGGAAATTTGACCCCCACATTCCCCCTTGTGTACGCCCTAATAAAAGTTAAAGTAGATAAATATATTTTGCCATTATTCATTTTTTATTAGCAATTTGAAAATGTTTAGGTTAAAATGTGAACATCAGTATTCAGTAAACCTTTTTTGCCTTCTATTGTTACTCGGTTTGTAGCGTTGTAAGGGATTATTTGAATAAATAAGGGGAAACGGTACTTGATTGATGATTTTAAGATCATTAGCATTATCGATATTGTAATTGTCTATTTTGGCCACTAGGAACGCGATTGAAACCACTGTACGTCATACAAAGTATTATACTCCGCTACTCGTCGACGAATATTCATAAAATAAAAATATCGACACCAGAATGAATTTAACCTATTAAAACTGTTTATAGAATTTAAAATACAGATTTCTATTCGGAAATCAGACGCGAGTAATGGTTTTATCTCCGAAAATAACGGTAATGTAAAATTGTACAACCGCTCGTTCCTCCGTCAGGTTTCAAAACAAACGAAAATCCGAAAAAACTCAACGCTCTCCGTGATAATCGAACGTCTTGTATAGATAATAGTAATCTTAACAACTGTATTATTGTCACAATCGACTCGTATCGACAAGCCGATTTACAATTCATTCCGGAATAAAATTCGATGTGGTACAGCGTATAATATTCTCCCCTCTCACGGCGTTTGAACATTCTATAATAATAATAATAATAATAATGATTACTACTATTCCATATAGCTGCTGCTGCACAATATTATTGTACACGTATCCACATAATAAACGTGTTTTACAGATCATTAACGTGTCACGGTTATATTACATACCGGCTCTCAGCAGCTGAGCGGCGTGTAGAAAGGCACAATAATAATAATATTAATGTGTAGGTAACCTCTCTATAAATAGTGTATTACAACAGCCGTCAAGGAAAAAAATCGCGGTAGCGACCGGATTTTCGAGAATTCCTTATCTAAAATTACCGACAATTTTTTTAACGACCAGACGAATATACGAATTTTTTAATATTTATTATTCTTCACTTCTGTTTGTGCGAATAATATCGGGCAGGTATAATAATATACCAAACAGAAGGACTCGGAATAATTGCCAAACGTGCCAACGTCGTATTATGGCGTTAAAATAATACTCGTAATGTTTTGCACAGCACGCGCGTACGCCAGCGGATTTCATTACGGGAGGGGATGGGACGAAGGTAATTATTTTTAACAATTGTTATAATATTTGCGTCGTTTTATTTTTTATTTTTTTTCGTTATTATTATATAGGTAATTTATTCTTAGTTTATGCAGACGCGAAACGCGGTCGGTAACAAAAAGCGGCGGGGAAAAACTCAGGGATTTTCCAAAGGAAAAGTACGTTCTCCGCCGTATTGACGGGCCAAAAGTGCGAAATGCGAAATCCGTATAACAGCACGCGAGAGAGTCGACCAACTATTTCAACATTAATAAGTATTTTTATCAAAAGCGAACGAGTGACGGAATGGACAGCGGGGCACGTATGGAGGGGGTTAACGATATCGGTTAACAACCGAGGCAAAGATGGATGGATATTTTCAAAGCGGACATTGAATGTCATGCAGCTGGAAGAGAGTGAAAATAGGGAAAAATGGCGAAAAATAGTTGAAGAACCTAAGGCCCGAAATGGACTATGAAAAAATATATATTGTTTTAAATATGGATGGGAACGGGGTCGTGGGGTGGTTTTCGCGAGAAACGTAATAACTCGATCAAACAGATTTGTTCAGGGACGACGGAAAAGATTTGTTTCTTTAAAAGAGAGAAAAAAAAAAGGTTCAAAATTATTGCACATTATACTATGGATACGATTTATCGCCAATTTTCTCACAATCGATAATCAATTATCGTCTACTATTGTTTTTAATAAATCCCATCACACAAATAACCGTAATATAATACATGACATACACGGTTGTTTGTCACAATTAAATATTGATTTGTCACATTTCTGTCGGAAAGGTAGGGGGATATTTAATGTGTACAGCAACGATTAACCATTGGTAACGAAAAAACGATTCTGAGCGGAATTCGTTTAATAGTGTTGCTTTGTCAATAATATTATATTATTAATATGCCATATGATTGTAAAATAATCACATGTTACGTATTATATATTTTCTTTCGTAATATTGGTTTAATATTGTATCTATTTTAAATATTAATCAATTTGAAAATTTTAAATATTTTGAAACACTTAGATTTATCGATGATAATGGATAATTTATAAGAAGGTTTACCGAACGTTTTCAATAAAATTAAACGAATTGTCTGGTTATGAACAACTAAAGGTGTTTAGGTTTATGTACTCTTAAAATGATCAGAACTCGCTCCCCCGGGGACAAGCTATGCTTTTAGGGGGCGCTGCAATATTGCGGTTCGTTGTTAATTTATTGATTTACATATTTTCTGTATTGTTGATTTCGTATCGCATATGTATTATTGAAATTGTCCGATAAACGACGGCAACAGCGGGGAAGTATTTGTGAAAACCTACGTCGTCCCGCCGCCGTCGGCTGTTGACCGTAGATAACGAAGTAATGGCTGCGGGTTCCCACCTGCATAAGAATATACCGTAAGCTAGGCGGAGGGTTCGGAAAACCGAGGCGATTTCCAATCAGTCGTCACGTCAACGTCTCACCGAATCAATTTCGGAGGAATGACCGTACACACCCGTCCCTCTTGGAACGCCGCCGGTGCGGACGGCCTATCCGTAATATCTTTATTATCCCCGATGCGGTTACAATAACATGAGAAAAAAAAAAAAAAAGGTATAATAATAATAATAACGATAATATCTCGGCGTCCGGGACGCGGTTTATTGTGTATCACGTCTCAGTGGGTGGCGCTGCGGCGGTGTAAAACGTACGCGACAACCACGCACACAATACGAGCCGCCGCATTATTCTGTCGTCGTCGTCGTCCGGTCCGAGGAGAAACGCCACATAAATTTCACCCTTTTCGGGCGGGCGAAATACGGGGGAAAAAAAAAAAAACTTTTTTCTTCTATTCTTCTCCTTTCACCCAACCCCCCCCCCAACCCCCGTTTAAACGAAATCCCGACCCGTCCGCACGTAATATTAACCGCGTGCGCGCCGCTCAATAAAACGTAATACAATACAATACATCGCGCGTGTGTCGTCGTCGTCGTTATTATGGCGGCGGCGTACCGATGGCCGCGCGCATTATCGCCGCCGTGAATAGAGGCGAGCGCGCGGGGATCCGGCGGGCGGGCGTCCGCGACACGAGGGACCCGGGGGCCGCGCCGCGCGGACGACAAAGAAACGCGCCGCGCAGTTCAAACAACAACTCCGGGCCGGCGGCGTCTTTTGACGCGTTGTTATTATTATTATTGTTGTTATTATTATTACACTACACTACACGCGCGTATACATTACCGACGGCGTTCAACGTTACAACGGTCCGTGTATCGGAACCTTTTTTTTTTCCCTTCTTTTCGATTCTTTTCCCGCCCCCTCACTCCCCCCCCCCCACCACCGAATGATTTACAATAATAACGCGTACGCGCAAGACGCTATAGCAACAACAATATTAATAGCAATAGGCGCGGCTCTCCACGGATTTCCCGGGTCTCCGTGTCGACCCGCCGAATACGCGCGACGACGATAACAATAATGGTATTATCGCATTATCTGTAACATCGGTACGCGTCGGTACGGTACAACGCGGGCCGGGGCATTCTACTCGGACAACGTCGACACTGTTGTCGTAACGGCGCGCCGGAGACGCGGCAGAAAATGTTAAAACACAATGACGGCGACGTGATGGACGACGCGCAAACCACGGACGTGTCGAACACAACACGTAATCGGTACGATTGTCACCGATTATTGTTGGCACGCGCGCGACATTGGTGACGACAACGGATTTGAAAAGCCGACACGACCGACTGCCGGCGATGCGCCCAGAACCGTGTCGGCGCCCGGGTGGGGGGGGCCGTCGGAGGAGGGAACCGTCGATTTTCAAACGACACCACCACGCCACGGTCCCATACGACTCGGATGGGAGGGGGTTGATCCCCCTCCCGAATGTATTGAAAGCGCTATTCGTATGCTGCCAACTCGGTCAATATCCGTTTTATTCTCCAATCGGTTTTATGTGCGACTTTTCCATTTTCAACCCTTAATCGCTGAACAAAATTACTTTTCACCTCGTCACTTTTCACAATTTTCAAAATGGCCATTTTAGAAAATATACTGTTCTGAAAATTTTAATTAATGAACCGTGCATTCATATCCGATTAATACACGTTACTTAGTTATAGCGGCTCGAGTGTATAGAACACAGGAGCGAAGACAATTAATATCCAATTGAAGATAATTAAGGAATTGCCGCGCTGATTGTTGTTCATATTTTGAAAAGCGATAAAATAAAAGTTATTATTTATCGGCGATTAAAGGATGAAAATAGAAATTCAATTTTCCTCTGCGTATTACACGGTATATATAAATATCCTTCGCGCAAAACCCGATTAAAAACAGAATTAATAGCACAACGGATAATAGGATAACGCTACACGTGCATTTGTTGTTCAAGAAAATATTTTTATACATCGGTTTCCCAACTGAAATGCATAATTAGCATTCTGTAATAATTGTTAAATACATTAATAACAGTATTTATTGTAACACTGTTTATTATTTAATGGAACACTACTCTGCAAGGGCATCTCAACAATTGAATTTCCGTCGTGAATTCCGTGCGCGATAAATATCGTATTACGTTTCGACTTTTACCCGTAAATGCCTTACGGTATTATTACGCGATATTATAAAACTAGACCGGTGCCAAATATCGCAAACACTGAATCGTATTTGCGAAAAACGAACGGACATACCATTGCGTGACGGGTGGGCCACTGTTGCGGGTGAAAAGTTGGAAAATTCAATCTGTGCGTGACGATTAACCATTGCTAACGAAAAACACGATTCTGAGCAGAGTTCGGTTACACACGTTATGAAAGGCCGTAATATTTACGATTCGAAAATAATACGTTTCCGTAAATTATCCTGTTTTCCCCAATTTTTTCAACGTATTATGAAAAACCTTAATCAAAAGAAAACAACGACCTCCCTAAAGTACCGTCTCGGTCCGATATCCTTTCGGAAAAAACCGTTACGCTTGAAAGTCGGAGCGAAATTCACTATATAAAAAGCGGTTCGCGGATAATGACCGTCGACGCGAAACCAATGACGTTCGCGATGCCATTTTTTACCGCGATAAATCACGCAATTTCGGTCGCGGGCCCAGAGTCACCGAACGTCCCGTTTCCGGGGCTCAAACAACGCGCGTCCGCGGGACGCCATTTGCCCCTGTCTTCGGCAAACCTGTCCGAGACGTATTTCAGAGCCGAATTGAAACAAACAGGCGGGGAGGGCGGGTGACCAAATGCGTCGTTCGTTATATTTGCGTAATTTTAACCGTGCGAATAATAGTAATAGTAAATAATAACCGTAACGGTTTTCATTTCCGCGGCAACCGAATCACCGTCCGTAAACACCGAGGTGATCCTCGAACAAACACGGAATGAATAAATGCATAAAAACGCAATCACCGATACCGGTACGAAACATACCTACTAAAAACAACCCTCTACTCGGGAATTGAATTTTCGAAAAAAAAAAATTCCGCAGCGCGCGCCCGCGTCGTAATTATAGCGCGGTATCCGCGCGGCAAAAGTTTCGCGGCCGGATCCGTCCGGCGGTTTGGGCCAGGGCGACGACGAATTCGAGTCGGTCGGGACGTGTCGTCTCATTCGTTACGCACAGTGGACGACACGCGAGCGTCACGCCGGTCCCGTTGCGCGCGTCCGTCCGGAATTTCGACACAATCCGTTCGTTGCACGTGCCGGTTGTGTTCGTCAAACATCGGCGGTGAACATTTACATATTCAATTCGGACATTGTCTCGGAATGTTTATGGCGGCGGGACACTTTGCGCGAAACACGTTTTACCAACAACAAAATCGATATTGTTTTCGGGCCGCGTCGCCTTTGTAACAACGTTGCGGTCTCAAACGCGACACCTTTGTGGAACACAATACGACACGATTTATTTTGTACCGTTACATATTTGCCGGCGCGTCGCGCGGCGTTGAAAAAAAACCCGCGACGGCAATCGCTTTGAAACGGCGATCACTCTGTTGATTTTATTGCAAATTTCCAACGGAACTGATGCGAATTTATTAAAACCGTTTGTTTCCCCTCGTTTCTTTCGCCGGCATGTCCCGCGCACAAATATCCGGCGGTTCCCGCTTATCCGTAAATAAAAGAGTTGGCAACCCCTACGGGTCGCGGCGCTGGTATAAAAACAACAACATAATGCAATCCGACGGTCTTCGACGTTATTCTCGGGGCGTTTTAAACATTCGGTATGACGCATACGTTCGTAAAACACGATCCGTTGCTGATAGAACGCGTTTGAATGTCGGGGAACGCGGACGGGATGATCATGCGGGACAACGCGAACGCGCGGACGGTTATTTCCCCTTTCCCCCCCCCCCAAAAAAAAACACCTACTCTGTCGGATGTAACAGGCGCCCCGGAGCGGACATTCGAGTCGGCGGCGTCGGAGGATTTCCGAAAATCCCGGCGGCGCGCGCTAATAAACCGACATATGCAACACGTCAATTATTATGTCGGACTGTCGCGTGGGGGGAACGCGGACGTAACCGGCACTGTCGTTGCCACCGTCGCACGCCGTACGTCCGCGTTCGGAAGGCGCGCGTATATTATCACGTGCCGCGTTTACGTCGGGTTTACTCGACCCGTTCGGCGGGGCGCAGGCGGGCGTCGCAACAATACAACAACAGGCCGAGGATTTGTAACGCAACAAGGCCCGACGGATACGTCTAAATATTATCGAGTATTATTATTATTATTATTATTATTGTCGTTGCTGTTGCTGTTGTTGTTGTCGGAGGCGAGACGATCGCGCAACGCCCGGGGGGTCCGGGGAACCGTAAGAATCCGCGGGGCCCCGACGACCGGGCACACAATGGCGTTGGCCGAGTGGTAGTGTCGGCCCCTTTACGGTTTTATCTCGCACGCGCACACACGCACACGCACAAGCACGCGCGCACACGCTCCACCCGTGCCGATGTCATTGACGACAAATACAAATACGGCGACAACGAGAGCGCGCGCGTGCGTGTGCCGGCACGTAGAATATATCGGTGCCGCGTACGAACGAACGTCAACTCCGTTAGACGCGCGCGAGATACCGTGTACATAACTCGCCCCCCACCCCCGACCACCGACGGCCGATATTATTGTTATCGCGATGCCGCCGATAAACCGTACCGTTACAATAACGCACAATACGCGGTACCCGTACACACAAAAGCGGTTTTTAAAAGAGCAAATGTCGCGCGAGCGCCTAGTACTCCGGCGGCCGCGCGGTGCGAACAGGAACAAAAACGGCGCGAAATCGTTTTGATGATTCCGGGAGCGCTGCGCGGCGGGCCACAGCGAGTCCGTAGCGGGACACAACGCACACACCTCCGTTGGCGTATTTCACTCGATTCCCGGGTACGTATTTCGAGCGTTTAGACGTGGCCGTTCGAAAATCGAAATCGAATATTACCTCCCCACCCCCCACACACACACACACTTTGTTTGGTTAATCGCTTCCGAATATCAAGTGTTATCGTACACTACTCGGGTGTATCACACCGCTATCGGATTGTCTGTTTTACGAACGTGGAATCTATACCGTTTTATACGGTATCGCGCGTGGCCAAACACGTAGGGTATTGACCACGACCGTTCCGTGTTCCGCGGCTTTTCGCGGAGGATAGAACACGGCGGGCGGTGATATTTATTACCAGCCAGAGACCGAAACAACAAGACTGGGAATCACTGCCGGCGGCGGCCGTTGCGTCTGCCGTACCGCACAAGTTGCGATCACACCGTTGCATTTGGCCACGAAAAACGAGTCCCGTGAAGGAGGAGCCGCGCGAGATACGAAACGCGAACGGTAAAATTCGATCGAAATGGGATCGCTGAGACGGCGACACACGGTTTTGGACGCGCGACGGGCGCCGCGAAGTGTCGAGTAACAACAGCGGCGTATTTTTACGGGGGGGGGGGGGGCGGGTCACGGGGACGTGACTTTTCGTTTGGCGTACGCGTATCGTTAAAATGTACACATTAACTAATCGCGCCAAATGTCCACCGGTTGAGTAATCGATAATTTTTAACTGTCAAAACGGAAACATTAAATTTCCACCGCGCGGATTTCGAATTGACAATAACTGCGACACTCGTAAAAGCGAAATTCAACGGGGCCGGTTTTTATACGGAACCGCTGAATTGCCATTCCCGCGCGCGGCGACACCGTGTTAATATTGAAATAACCTTAATACTTCGTACTGACAGTCGACGTATGAAAACTTAACAAGTGCCCATACATTCAAATGTTCGCGCCAAAGTATACCGTGTAAACTTGAAGAAAACAGAACGTGCGATGAAAAACGAGGCCGTTTGTTGGCGAGCTGGCGGGGGACGTAGCCCCCCCCAGGCCTCTGTAAAAACCACGCCTTTTGAAAAAAAAAAAGTATCCCAATTTCGTCACTCTAAATGAGGACGGTAAATAGAAGCGGCTCTACAATGGAGGAGACCAACAGGTATGCGCGGCCGAGGAGGATAGAAAACGTTGATTGGACGGAATATCAAAACGGAGACCTGTAGCAGGAATATCGGGGACACCGACAAAAACAGAGGCGCGCGTCGTAATAAAACCAGTACGTTCCTGGTTGCGCTCAGAATCTGAAAGGGCAACATGACGGATGGCGCCGCGACAGTTTAAAAAAAAAATTAACAATAATATAATTTGTGGAATTTTTACATGGATTATTAACTTTTTGAAGTAACCGTCATTACTTTATATAAACGACGTGCTATTGGCCGTTATAATCAGAATAATCGAAAAAAAAAAACTCATAGTGATGCTTTTATTATTCTGAACCAAAAATCAACAGTCGGTCTCGCGTCACCGTGATTTTTTTCTTTTTTTAAAACGATCACGATAATGTTAGAGTAAATGGTACCCCGTAAATAGAAAAAAAAAACTGTCGCTATTAGTATACCCGGACAATTCGGTTTCCTTTCCAATAATTTGGTAGTTTTTGTATCGTATAAGGTCACGTCCGCGATCGTTGGATAATATTATGAACGATACCTATACGATTTTTTTTTTGTTTTTCAACCGAAAAAGCAAAGAAAATTAAAAAAACCAAAATGCACGCACGATTATAATGAAGTATTTATATTTGAATTAAAATTTCGCAATTATAATTTGTATCCATGCACGAGTACACCATATAGAGTTAATTTAATTTGTAAAAAAAAAAAAAAATGATATCGCAACAAATGCATACACTTAATATTTTATTGATCGCCTTTGAATATAGATTCGCGTATAGAATGCGAAATAATAATAATACCGAATAATTGGATATTGAAAATGTTTCGATCGATTGATCAATGTTTTGCCGACAATTATGGGAAAATGTTTTAAACGCGAAATGACCAATACCTAGAAAATTGTTGGGCGCCCGGGAATCGGGCCACATTTTATCTACGTGCTGCGCAAACACTAATTTTTGTACATTTTATTACCCGGGTGTCATCGACGGCCACAAAAGTACATAATAACACAAGAGTATACAATTTTAAATACACCAATGTGCATAATATAAAATGCAATACCTATAAACTTAGTCGAATAGTTTTACAATTTTTTTTTTTTAAAATAACGCGGTACAGATTTTGCTTCGCACAATAATCGAAAGCGCCGTCAACATAAATCGATTATAACGCGAACGTATAAGAAATTTAAATTTGTAATCGCGGAGAAAATAATAATATGGTTTAAAAGAGTGGTGGCAGTGTGCAGACGTTTGCCTTTTGTCAAATCTAAAATGTGTTCAAATAAAGTGACCCGATTGCCGGATTCAATATAAAAAAAAAACCGTTTAAAACAGTCGCCCGGTTACCTTTTCGAAAAAATGTTCGTTGTGGCCAGATTCCCGGGTGCCCATATTTTAGTATATTGACTGCATTATCGAATGCCCATAAATAAAATACGGTCAATATCGTTCGTTTTTTTAAACACTACACATTTCTGTCGTGTATTTATACAGCCGCAGCAATGAAAAAACACAAACAAAATAACAACACCGTAATCGCAATTGTGGATATTTAAATTAAATGTCAAGGCAAAAGTTCTGTCGAGACTTTTTCGCGTTGTATAAACAGTGCTCGGATTTTGAGAGGGGGAGGGAAGCTCCTCTTACCAATTATCGCTTTCGGGACGGTAGGACGGTACGGCCCATTTTGCAAACGATGATATTTTCCAACAAAAAAAAAAAAAAAACACGTATTTTCAAATGAGATATAATTACAATTTATTCTAATTCCACAGAGAGAAAAAAAAAAAAACTCCAGCAACAATATCGTTATAGTTTTATTGTTTTCTGCATTGTACTTTTGCCCTGCGTGCTAATTACACGGTTCAAGTAAAATTTCAATCCGAAATCCGAACAAATTAAATGCTTAGGAGGAGGGTGAAGGTTCTGGGGCTTCCGTCACCCCTCCCGAAATATAAACATCCCATTAATATCGTGTTATACGACAGCAAAATCCAATACAATAAGACCGGTGGGGGGGGGGTATTTGAATTTTTTTTTTTAGGCGTGTGTAAAACTCGCACCGAAATTTTTTCCTGCGTTCGCCCTCCCCGACCCTCTTCACCCGCCCCGGGTTAAAACTCAACAATACGCACGGTTCCGCGTAATACAATTTCGCGACATCTGCAATTTAAAATTTCAACCTTTTGTTATTTGTTTTTATTTTTTTTTTTTCCCCCACATAGATATATACCGGTGACCGTGCAAACGCAATTGAATGCGACAAAAATTTAATACTGCAGGCGATAACAATATTTGTGTAAAACGCTAAAGCCTATGGCACTGCAGTCACGTTATTCGGAGGATTATTCTATTGCGTACGGAGTGCGGTGAAATTTCGATCGGTACCTATAATAAAAAAAAAAAAAAAACGGGGAATTAAATAACTCTGTCTAACGTCGATAGTAATATCTTGAACACACAAAACTCGAACGATCCCGACGGAATGACCGCGTTATTATTATCTATGTCGGCACCCGTAACCGCGGATTATCCGCCGTTTCGGCAACCGCTAACCGGCCGTTATAACGCATTGTTGATAATGTTCGTTCGGCAATTGCAAACCGGTCGGCCGTAACGTTTTCGGAATTTCCCCTCGTTCGCCGAATGTAATTTTCGGCTATTGTATTGCAGCGGCCATTGCAACCGGCTTCGGTGGCATCGTGTCACGCGGCCGCGACAGTCGAACCGAATCCGTATTTTTAATTTATGGGTTTTCAATGTCCGACGAGTTGTTTTCAACTCACGTTCCGTTCAACGGATATTTAGAGAGAAAATCTATTTTTATTGGCAACAACACGCCTGCCGCATGCCCCACCCCCACCTAACTGCGTGGTGATAAACCGAAATATTTCGGTAAACGCCGACGGAAAAATAAGACTCGACAGACGTAATGATTTTAACCCGGCAAACGTGCGTCGGTAAATTTCGCGGAAAATAGCTCGCCGGTCGCGGTTTGTTTCGGGGGGGAGGGCGAAAATGACGAAAAGGAAAAAAAAAAATCATAGGGCAATAATGTCGGGGAACGTTTCCCCGATATTTCAAAATTCAATTCGCAACCCCTTACGGTACCCATTCGATTGTTTATTACGAACGGATGAAAAAAAAAAATACGGATCAAGGGGGGAGAGGGAGATCCGCCTATCGCCCCACCCCCTCTCCGCGGCCGTACAATGTTCGAATGTTTATGTTGCGGCACCCACAACACATTATCGCACATTATGGTAAATTTAAAAACAAACGTGCAATTCCGTTTGTGAACGGCGAATTATCGCGATGTTCGACGCCGCCGGTCGGGGATAAACACGTCGTCCGCGATACGACTGGGGGCGATAAATTACACGGGAACCGTCCGCGGTAAACCGTTTGGCGGCGGAATGTTCCGGATTTCGAATCGAATCGGTTCGGTGGGCAAACGACGTTTAAAAATAACCGCGGAATCGTCGGAAAACCGGCCGGACGTAAACGGGTTTCGACAAACGAATACACGGTTTTATTAATATCTTCGGTGCCGTGTAGTGCAATAATAATATTTTGTTCTCGGATTCGACGAAACGCGGACCCGGCGCGCCGTTTCCTCGCGATTGCCCGACTCCAGTCTCTCTTTACACGGCGTAAACGCCCGGTGGGTGGGTCACCGACGGAAATCGTCGTCGGCCGGTGGCAATCTCGAGGGGAATCTCATTTCTGAATCTGGAATCTGGCCGACGGGAACAGTCGATTAACGATTTACCCACTTCGAATACCTCTGAAGGTACTGTCCGCCGGGGTTGACCTTGCCGATTTTACAAGCCCGACCGCGGTACCCGCGGAAGACGCTTTCGGCAAAATTACGTATATTACGTAAGTTACGAATGGACTGTTTTACGGTACATCGGGCATTTGCGCAGAACGTTCCCGGACATTCTAAACGCGAATGTCCGGTGCGCGGACATTGGCGGGAATCGTGAGGGGAGGGGTTGGCTTTGGGGGTTCTGAGCCCGCCGAAAACGTGTGAAACAGAGAAATCGGTCCCCCTCGAATTACTAATTAGTATTTGGCGAGCGGGCTCAGAGACCCCTCAAATCTCCTCACCCCGCGCACAATTTCCGCCAACGGACGCACAACGTGATTCATTTATTTTGTACAAAATGTCAAGTCCAACGATAATGACGTCGTTGGTTTGGAAATATTATAAATGTATATGAACGCACCTGGCTGCGGCCGGTCTTGGTACTCGACCCTCTTCATCCAACCGTACGGGCTCACACGTCCGGTGCCGGTGGGCGACGGCTGGTGTTGCACGGGCGGCCAATACGTCTTGTAGTCTTTGTAATCGTTGGACGTCTGGTACGCGGCCGCGGCCGCCGCGGACGACGGTTCGTCCAACGACGTGCCCGGAGACGAACACGTGGCCGTCCCGGCGGACGTGACGGCCGGGTTGTAAGCCGCGACCGCCTGTAAGGTGGCCGCGGCCGGGACGCCCGTCGGTTGATGGTGGTGCTGCGACTGCTGTTGCTGCGGCGGCGGCGCGTGGTGAGCGTGATGGTACAGCACGTCGTCCGCGTACGACGGCCGCCGTTTGTTGTACACGACCGTCGGCCACGAGGCGTAACCGCTACCGACGTCGGCCGGCTGATGGTGATGGTGGTGGTGCAACAACGATTGCGGCGGCGGCACTAGCGACATCCCGTGATGCGGCTGGTGCAAATGATGGTCCTGTTGCTGGTGCTGTTGTTGCTGTTGCTGTTGCTGCAGCTGCTGTTGCTGTAAATTATGGTGATGATGGTGATGGTGGTAGCCGGCGGCGGCGGCCGCGGCGACGGACTGATGACCGTAGGCCGTCCACGACCCGGCCACGGCGGCCGATTGAGGTTCGCCGCACTCGTCGCCGGACATCACGACTCCGTGATGATACGACGGACCCTGTTGTCTGCTGCACACGGACGCCGAATCGTTCATTTTTTTTTTTTTTTTTTCAAATGAGCTTTATTTTTCTTTTAACCGCAACTATTCTCGCGTTGTATCGTTACCAGCATTATTAGTTTATTGGCCCGGGCGTCGACGGGTGTCCGCTGCGGTCGGACCAACGCGAGTGCCGGCGACGGTATACTAATTATCAACGGGCAAGTCACATGCGCCGGGACGTACACGAGCGCGCGGGCGGCGGCGGGACGGGTTCCGCGAACTGACCGGGACCGCGCGGATTCGGACGGAACGGGCGCGTTACGGCGTACGCGGGAAAACCGTGACGGCGCGGTGCGACGGTCGCGCGGCAAGTACCGGGTGATTTGTGTTGTGAACACACGCGCGCGCGAACACCGTCTCGACGCGACGATGATGGTGACACTGCCGGCCGCCGGCGCCGTCGTCGTCGTCGTCGTCGTTGCCGCCGCCGCCGCCGCCGCCGATACGGAAATACGTAATAACAATAACGTCGACGATTTTAATATTACGATTAAACACCGCACGCGTAATACCGTCGAGTGTGTGTGTGTGTGTGCAAACGGGCTCGTGCGTATTGCGGCGGCAGCGGCGTACGGTATTATGTTTGAAAAAAAAAAAAAAAAATTAATAATAACAACAACCGAAACGATTATATTATATTGTATTTTCGAACATTATTATAATATCAGTACAATAAATATATAGGTTGTTTTTTTTTTTTTTTTTTTCCTTTTCGAGGTGTGACGGACGAGTCGTGTGCGCGCGTGTACCTGTACGTGTACGCGTGCGTGAGCGTGTACACTCAATGTTTAGACACGCGATCGATTACGACTGATGAGGTGCGGCCGGGTTACGTGCGCGAGAGACCGGCGGCGGCCGAAACGGGCGTGCTCCGGCCACTCCCGCGTCGCCGCGGGTCGGCCAATTGCGGCCCGGTGGACGTGGCCCGCCGCCGCCGCCGCCGCGTTCGGATGTTTTTCCGTCGCCGCCGCCGCCGCCGCCGCCGCCGCTACGTTTCAAATGCACGCGCTGCTCGGAACGTGTGTACTTACCTGCGTTTCATCCACGCCGCCGTAACAATCGTATTGGCGCGCGATAACAATCGATTGGCGAAATACATTCGATGCCGCGACGCCGCCGATACAACAAACGATACGAACGATTCGTTCGATCGCGGAACGGACAACTGTCGAGTTGTCGGACAAATTAGTAATAATTTTCGAGTGAAAATATTTATCAGCGCGCGAATACGAATCCGTAACGGAACGACCGGGGAAACGGGCGCGTGACCAATATTAACGAAAAACGGCGGCGGCAAATGTTTCCGATATCACGACCGGATACACTGGTATTCAATTAGAATTCAGAATTTAGGTGTCCGTGTACTTTCTACATTACAGTTGTACGCGTTTTCAAAATTGGCGCAATCAGCACAACATAATGTGTGTACATAATCACGGACAATAGTGTATGTGTTTTCACAACGTAAAGAAAAGAAAACCGTATGCAGAGTCTCCTTAAGCCCTTCCTCCCCCGTATAACATCCGGCGCAGGCGCGTATACGGGGATGGGGGGGGAGTTTGAGGTTTCAAACCTCCACCGAAAATTAACAGCTGTGTAAACTTACTCACGTCAGTTTAGTATTTATTTTTTTTTTTTTCTATACATTTTGATAATATCAGTAACATCCGATTAATTGCGTGCCTGAAAATATTTTAACGACGGACCAATCGTAATAAAAACGTTTTGTCGGCTGTCGCTTTGAATGCAGCGATTTATTGGTAAATCGTATTCGTCAATCATAGCGTACACGGTACACGTTTTTGAAAAACGGACCATACGCATCGCACATGTATACCGGCGTATGTACTGTTAAATGATAATTGAAATATCGATGGTAATATTGTAATTCCGCCGTTGTTGTGCCCGTAGCCGAAAACACATTATAAAAAAATTCAAATAACATATTTAATACGTACAACTATGATCATAGATAATAATGATATCTTTAACATTTTTTTATTGTCTATTGCAATTATGATATATAAAAATGTACGCGTCATATCTTCAGTCGGTGCACAGGAATTATGATCGCTAAAAGCCAACCTGAGGATCGATTATACCGGACCGATTAACAATCGTCAATTGGTCGATTGCTCGCACGTGTGCCGCGGTGACGGCGCGGACTATTTTCATGAATAGGACGGTAACACGTTCGTTTGATCTATACCCATACACACACACACACACACACACACACATACACCCGACAATTTTTTGTAAAATAACACGTTCGAAACCTCGCCCACGCCTACTAGAACTACCACAACTAGAATTTCGTATTTTGGAAGGAATTTAACGCGCCCCGGTTGTCATAACAGTTATTTATAGATACGAAAACCCATTTGCAATTGGCATACATCTGTCATTGACAATCTTTCCGCGGATTTTATTTATAATTTTGTTTATTATCAACTATCGATAACTCTTCGATGCTTAAGATGCGATTACACGACTATGTACGACTATGTACACTATAAAGTAGCCGTAGTCTTTCAGGTTTAGATGGTGTAATATTATGATTGATACAAGTGCAGGAGCTGCAATGACGTTCTTTCATTTGAATTTCTGAAATTCGTCAAATCGTAAAATAAATTGTCGAATATCGACGATTGCAGAAAAATCAAAGTATCAATACTCGAACATTTAAAAACTATAATAGGTCATATAGCTTGCATAATAGTTTGTTAGGAGTTATATGTTTATCTTTATTGCGTTCGTTATACGAGACAATAGACGTATTATAGTGGTTATACACAATTATGTGATTTACTGTTATTAATTGCAGGTGCATTAACATAATATAGCTAAGGTACGCGGTGTTAATTTGTTTATATATAATATGGTAAAATCCACAAAAATTAAAATTTTAAAAATATTACCGTCAGAGATACGATATTAAACCGTATAATGGAAGCACTTATTTTTGTTGTATCACATTATTATGATGGCACCTACTAATTGGTTAAAATAAATAATTGAGGAATACAAATATATAATAATACACGTATATAGGTAGGATAGGCATAAAGCTCGTAATTTCGAAAGAGTGGAAACTGAGAAAAAAAAAATCGTTTCCATTAAAACACGAGTTTATGACGGTTATATTTGTATGGCGCTGTTATATCTGCAGTAGTTCAATTATATAGACTAATGAGTATTAATAAAAAAAAAAAAAAAAAAAAAACCAAAAGCCAATTAAGAGAAAAACGCATTTTTACTGTTTTTTTTTTTCAATTATCCACGAAAACCGTCCCTTCGAAAAATAACCTATAAAAGTTATTTTAGATTCTGAGCGGAGCGAAGAACGTACCCATCGATTTTACAATGATGTATTTTTTTTTCCGGTGAACAACTTTTCCGATATACGATGATAGCACTTTTACCGAATGGAAATCTGAATGGGATGGTACTTTATAGGGAGGTCTTTTTTTTTTTTTTTTTTTTTTTTCAGACGTTTTTCCAATAAAACGGATAAATCGGGAAAAAAAACATAGGAAAAACCGGGAAAACAGGTACAAATTAAACAAATAGTATCAAAGAAAATATATAATGCATATGTATAATTATTTTACCGTAATGCGACATATATTTTGTTGACAAAGCGACATTATTAACCGAACTCCGGTCAGGATCGTGTTTCGTTAACAATGGTTAATCTTTGTGTACAGATATACATTAAATTTCCCCTTTACTACACCTTTCCAACTAATCACCTACACCAGTAGCCCACGCACGTGCGAAATATGTCCGTCTTTTTTCTAACTGTACCGTTTACGTTCGCTTTCAAATCGATAAACGGACCGTATGGAACTTACGAAGAACTATAATGTAATTGAGCACTTGAGTGTTTTCTGAGTCAAAAATATTAGATAAATATACCGTTGAAAAACCAACACATATTATAATTATACCTATAACGTTACATTTCACGACGTCTGTTCAGAACTAAATAACAAATGTACAAAAAAAAAAAAAAATATTATGATCCGATTTAATTTTTTAATACCATATAAAACCGATATCAGAATTATTGTTTAAAATGTTATTTTTTCAACTATATACTCGTAATACCCGTATGTGCTCGTATATACACACTCTAAACTGAAATATAATTTCAAGCTTAACTGCATCGTTATTTATCATTATCGTCTAATTTTCATAATATCGCTACACCTGTGTAAAAAAAAAAAAAAATAACTTTATTCACTGTAAATGATATTAGCTAGATAGATACTCATATAACATGTTTAAAAACTTGTTTTTAAGATGTAGAGATGTTATAATATTATTAAAACTACTTTACGTTATCCGCATCATTTATTACAAGTATAGGCAGGTATAGGTATTATAAAGTGCTTTATATTATTATAGTACGCCTTATAAACCTAGGTTTAGATATATTTATGCACAAGTTAAGCTAAGTAACCTATAACCACTTTTATTTTGTATGGTCAAAAATCGGAAAATTATATTTAATACTGCGTATATATGAATAATAATTCATCATATAGGCATATATCATAATACTGTATACAAACTGCTCCTATAACAAAACCAAAGATGAATAATTTTAAGTTTTCACTGACTTTTGAAACTTTTCATGTTGTTCTATTACACTTTTAATTTTTTTTATACAGCTATCAATGAATACTAATCAATTAACATAGTGTTTGACGTATTGTAAATATATCATATAAATATAATATAATATCTTTTAATTAATATTGAAAAATATAGATAACAGAAGAATGGTTATCGATCCTTTAATCACACAATACTATGCATTGAAATATATTTTGACGTTTGGGTAAATATTTTATTAAATTAAAAAAAAATACAATACAAAAATCAATTTATTATTGATTTATTAATTATTTTATTTTAATATGTTTATTATACACATATATTTTTTAAACAAATACGTTTGGTATTGAATATGCATATGGACTATCCATTCTTCTCCTAGCTATGATGAAACGTTTCAGTACTATTGATTTCATAGGTCATGAAACTTTTCTAATTTCATGAAAAGTTTCAGTTAAAAAGTTGAACGTGATGAAGTATTTTTTTTATATGAGCAGTTAACGTTCAAATTTGAATGGAAATCGTAAAAAACCTGGCATTTTAACACGTTGTTAACTGAACTTCGCTCAGGATTGTATTTGGTTAACAATAATTAATTGTCGTTGCGTACAGATATAAATTAAATTATTCCATATGTCTTCTATATCGTCTCGACTTACCACCTGCAATTAGGTATTTTTGCCTTTCTTGAAAAATGTTAAAATTTGAACATGTTCCCTTTCTGTGCATTTAGCGATTTTTC